AGACCAACAACAGGTTAGGTCCTAGACCATACTGTGCCAGGAAGCCCAGGGGTCCTCTCTGACACCACCCCGGCGAATCCACATGTCTCTCGGCATCATGGCTCCCCTGATAAGCTAGTTACTCAGCCAGGGGTGTCCCATTCCACCCATGTGGTCGCACTTGTCCTATGTTCGGATGTAATTCCAAGGAATCGGTCCTTAAGTGCGGGAGCGGGAAAACCGTACACCCGGTATGTTCCCCGGTCCGCGGTTTTAGAAATTCATTTAGTTCGCAAGCACCGACCCAGGTGTCGGGTTTTCCAAGTCTTTTGTAAAACCCAAGTTTTACCCAAGTTGTTTCTCAGATTTTAAGTTTGAAGGCGACCGTCGATACTCGCACAGAGTGCACGAATATCGAGGCGCAACTGGGTGGTTACAAGGGGACATGGTATAACAATTAACAAAGGAAGGATCAAATGCAACAAATTAGGCAGGTCCGCCAATCTGCCTTGCAGACGGAACAACAGATTAAGTGTGATCCTATCAATGCATAATATTTTGCAAGCAATATAATTAAATTTCAAGTATAGGCTCAAGATGTTCAAAGGTGGCTTGCCTTGCTCGAGATCCAGAGCTTGATCCTCGAAATCCTCGCACTGCGGGTCTTCGGGCTCCGAAACTACACGCGAAACGGGACAACTCAACAAACGGCGAAAATAAAGCCCTATTAATGACCTCTAAGCGTGCCATTAGATAGATCTCGAGATTTGGGGAATTTTGGAAGTTGAACGGAGTCAAACGGATTTACGGTGGGGAAGATATTGAATTTCTAAGATTATTGGATTTTTGGTCTAAAGGAAAAGGATTTAATTAAATCCTTTTTGGAAAAGAAAAGAAAAGAAAAAGGGAGAGGGAGGGAATATAGACTTCCCTCGGGCGGTTAGGGCGCGGCCCGAGAGAAAGGGCGGCTCGGCTGAGCTTAACGGGCCGGCCGGCCCAAGAAGGTGGCCCAAGGCGGCCCAAGACGCGCGCGCGCGGTGGAAGGAGAGAGAGAGTCCGGTGGACCGGGCTCACCACGCGCGGTCCCGGGTGGGACCCGCTTGTCAGCTGCTCGGCTCACCGTGCGGAGGGAGCACGCGGCGCGGCGCTAGGGTGGAGGATGGACGTGGTGCACGCACGCGGTTCGCGGTGGACGCAGGTGCGGCGGGCCCACGCGCAGCCTCACGGCTCGCGGTGGAACGCGCGCACGGGGAGGGACTGACCGGGGTCGGCTCGACCCGGTTTAGGCTGAGCTGGCGCCGATGTGGCGCCTACGTGGCTGCCACGCGGGCCGGCGAGAGGTAGACGACGACCCGGCCGCGAATGGACAGCGGGCGGCGGCGGCGAGCGGCGGAGCGAACCACGGCGATACGGGCAAAAGCTAGCACACCGGGCGGTTGTTCGTGATGAGGGGAGACGAACCAACGGCTCGGATTTGCCGGGGGTTGCTCGACGGCGGCGGATTGCGGCGGCGGCAACCGGCGGCGGGAGAAGGGGGAAACGGCGACGAGGTCACTAGGGGCTAATTCCCGGCGGCGAGAGCATCTACGCGGTTACGGGAATCCGATGCTAGCGTCGGATTGGGCGGAACTACGCCGAGCGAGGCCGGCGACGAGCGGCGCTTCCGAGCTCGGGCGGCGACGGCGGCGAGCACACGGCGAGCGACGGCAACGGTCGGGGCGGCGCCGGCTAACTTCGGGGAGGCTACTCGAGCTACTACCGAAAGCTAAGGAGGGGAGATGGAGCGAGGAGGAAGAACGGAGGGAGGCACTACCGTGCGGGACGGGCGCGGTGACGAGAGGCCGACGGCGCGGGAGTGATCTCTCCGGCCTCGGGCCGAGGAAGAGGAAGAAGAGGGCGCGCCCGGAGTCCCCTTCCGCGTCCACGAACGCACCGGCTCTCCCGGCGCTTGGCGATGGACGGCGGAGGCGAGACAGAGCACGGGAGCGGCGGCAATGGCACGGAGGCGAATGGAAGAGGAAGGGAAAGGGGAGGCTGGGGTTTAAATGGGCGGCAATGTCGGTTTGGGAACCGACTTGCGCGGTCAAGGGCGCGAGCTGGCGCTCGGCGGTCGCGGCCAAGGCGGCAACAGGGAGGATGACGCCGGCGAGGAGGAAAAAGGGGAAAAGGAGGGGGAGAAAGGGGGCTTGCCCCTTTGCCGATTCGGGAAAAAGGAGGAGGTGAGCGGGGGCGACGCGGCAGAGGGAGGAGGGATGCTGCCTCCGTCCCTTGGCGGCTTGCGCGCGGAGTGGCGGGGCCGGGCGATGACGACGGCGATGACGGCGGGGCGGTTTGGAGCGGAGCGGCGACACTGGCGACAGGCGCGTGCAGAGGCTGACGGCGGCGGCAACCGGGCGGTCGGCCACCACGGCACGCGCGCGCGGCTTGCAATGGGAGGCGCGGCGGATGGAGTGGCACGGCTCGGGCACGCGCGCTGGCTCGCGGGGTCAAGCGGCTACGCGGCTGCAGGCGGCAGGGCAGCGGGACCGGGCGGCGCTGACGCGACGCGACACGGGCGGCAACCACGCGGGCGTGCGCGCGAACGAGCGTGGGGAGCGGCAGCGAGGGAGCCGAGAGGTAAGACTCGGCTCGGCGCGGGCGGCGCGGCTCACGCGCTTGCGCGCGCGGCGCGCGGGCGAGGCGGAGCGGAGCTGAGCGGGGGGAGAAGCGGAGCGCGCCGGGGAGGGGAGAGGGCGAGAGAGAGAGAGAGAGCGAGGGCGCCCGGGAGAGAGGGGGTGCCGGGGGAGAGATGGGCCGAGCGGGATTCGGCCCATCGACCCCGGGGGAGGCAAAATGGACTTTTGCGGAGGAATGATTTGGAAGGATTTGGATTCGGAATTGAACTCGACGATAGATCGGGGATTGAGATCTTGAGATGGCACGGACACTAGACAACAAGCGAAGAAACAAATTTCGCAATTAGGGTTTTTAGGAGATAATTTTCCCGCTAGGCGCCACGACGGAACGGGCGCTACACTCTAGTAGGAGAAAAAAAACATAAACATGAAAGAAAAAACATAAAAAAAGAGAAAAATAAAAATATTTTAAATTCCTAGAAGAAATTAAACCAGAATTTGTTGTCGCGGATTCGTACCATTGGACGACTAGACCATTGGTCATTTAGCTTCACCCGATAAAATACGAATTACCAGCTGCCATATTCTTTTAAGTCTAAGCCTCAACTAATGTAATTTACGTAGCTTTGCCTTTAATTTTCTGCTTTTTGAAGTTTTAAAGTACAGTGCTAATGGATATTTAGATTCATGTGTAGGGCTGCAGCCCTAGCTATCCTATTTTTGTCTCTGCCCCTCTGCTAGCTATGACAGTTGCATTTCTGATCGATATAAACTCGTATCATATCGTTGTACTACAAGTTTGATATAGTTGAAATTTATGAATAATTGATGGGTTATTATATGACCGTATGAAGTAACTTTTACAAAACTAAAAAGATATTATTCAAAAAAATTTCCAGATAATTTTATACAGAAAATATATAAACGAAGAATTAACTTTTTACAAGGTTGGCAAGCTTGAAATGAAAATCTAAAATAATAATAATAAAAAGAGCTGCACCTAAATAACAGAAAAAAATCAACGCAACTTGACTACCCGTTCTTGGTCAGCTAACGATATAAATCTCGGACTGTGATTGGGTGTACGAGTCGATTGATGGGATCATTTCCTTGGCTTCCACTGATAATAATAATAATAATCTCCCCTAATAAAAACCATGTTTAGCCATCGTAATCTCCAGCCGACCACGCCGCGTGCTGACGCCGCCGCCGCCGCCCCCACGCGCGTCGTCTACCTCATCGTCGCCACCCGAATATCCCCCTCGCGCCACGCGTCGACGCCGCGCCGCCCCTCCGGTTTCTATCCGATTCCGCGAGAGAATTTTTGACTTTTCGCCGGTTCGAGACTCTCTTGGGTTCATGTGCACCACAGGATTTTGGGGTGTAGCAGATCCGGCGCCGTAGTCAATTTAAGATTTTCAAACTTCATTTTTGGATTTTTTTTTCCGTTCATTTCTATATTTGATTTAATTTTTTAATTACACGAAACGCGTGCACACACACCAACGCCACACTCACACTCCCACGAATATGTCCCCTTAACACATGCTCTAATAAATGGAAACCAACGTTACATCCCTGATCTAACTGCAATCCTGTTGAAAACTCACTTGAATATGCGTAATATTCGTGTGCATCAAGATTTAAACTCTGATAGATGAAATAACATCATTAGAGGTTTCCCGGTATTCGATTTTAGTTTAGAGCCAATAAAAGTAGAAATGTAAACTTTTATATCATGCCTTCGACTAACGAAAATATGAACCGCAACAAATAGGCTCGAACAAACAAGTCCATTGACTTTGACTACTTATCCTTTTCATTGATTTCTATCATAAATAAATATTTAATGTTCAGAATAAGATTTAGTTAAACTTATAATATTTTGAGAATCAAATCTGGTCCTAAACATCAATATTTTTTTTACCTTAAGGAGCATTTTAAGGACTATGATTTTTCATTTTGTAATGCAAAAATAGGGACTAAAGTTTTGAAAAGAAAATAGTAGAATTTAAACAGGGTTTTACTGACTTTGAAACCCTTTTTTGCTAAGTTAAAAAAATCAATATTTTTCTTTTGCTAGAGGCACATTCTAACATAACCGCGAATAAACCTGAATTTTTTTAAAAAATCGTTTCAAAATTGGCAAAAGCCTGGATCTAATATGCTTGTCAGTTAAGCTTCCATCTAGCTAGAGTCCTTTGTCCAAAGCTTCAAAGTACTAATCTTATTAAAAATCTCACTTAGGACTAATCTTCCTTTGCACAAAGGTGAAAGGTCATTATTAGTTGATGGCGTCCCATGTCCCATACACACGTGACAGCCATCAGCCACATAACCCTTCCAACCCAACCTAATTATCCCAGGGGCATTCCTGTCCATCTCCCGTGTATATATACTCACCACCACCCTTCTCGAACCCTGACCTAATCACCACCTCGCTCTTTGCATTTCTTGATTTCTCCTCGATCACCTAGTAGTTGATCGAGCAATGGCGGCCAAGGTGCACCCCAACCTGGCCGTGCCGTCGCTGATCCAGCCGCCGATGGCGCCACCGGCGGCGATGGCGGCGGGGGACAGCGTGATGAAGACGAAGGCGGCGGCGGCGGGCGGGGATGTGGTGCTGACGGTGTGGAGGAAGTCGCTACTGTTCAACTGCAGGGGGTTCACGGTGTTCGACGCGAGCGGCGACCTGGTGTACCGGGTGGACAGCTACGCGGCGGACTCGCGCGCGGAGGTGGTGCTCATGGACGCCGCGGGCGTGCCCGTGCTCACCGTCCGCCGCAAGAAGGCGATCGGCAGCCAGCTCGGGCTTGGGGGCGACCAGTGGCTGGTCCACCCCGGGGAGGAGACCCGCCTCCCGCCGCTCTACGCCGTGAAGCGGACGCCGCAGTACGTCCGCGGCGGCGGCAGCGTCAAGACCATGGCGCACGTCGCGCCCTGCGGCGTCGCCCTCGGCGCCGGCGGCGGCGGTGGCTACGAGATCGAAGGCTCGTACCTGCGGCGGAGCTGCGCGGTGTACGACGCGCGGCGGCGCGCGGTGGTGGCGGAGGTGCAGGCGAAGGAGGCGGTGGGGACGGACGTGTTCCGGCTGGTGGTGCGGCCGGGGATGGAGGTGTCGGTGGCCATGGCCGTCGTGCTGGCGCTGGAGCAGATGTTCGGCAAGCCCTCCCTGCTCAGGAGCTGGTCCTCCTAATAATTAGCCTGTTTCTTTCTTTCTCTTTTTTTTTCTTTTTTTTTTGGCCTTGAATTTCCAACATTGTTTGGGCCTGAGAGCAGAAGAGTTGCTCTTGGCTGCCTCTTTCTCTCTGATCCTGAAATGAAACCTCAAATTGGGTGTCACTGTACACTGAAAAGAAAATCCCTCTTGGTGAGTATGGTTTTGGGTCTTTTTTTTAGCAGAAAACCAGAGGGATGAAAGTGTAAATATTTCTAAGAAGAAGAAGAAGAAAAGGGGGTTAATTAAAGCAGGAAATTCTTCCCTGTCTATCTTTCTCCTCCATTTCTTGTTCTAAGCTACCAGCCTTCCACTGTTGCGAGGCAAAATTCCCCCCCCCCCCCAATTAATACTAGAATTAACTAACAATATATTGTACAAATTCATCCAAGATCCACATGCCCAAAACATGGAAACCATTTTAATCGCTACTACTATGTACTCCCTCCGTCTAAAAAAAAACTCAACCTAAGAGGAGTTCGGGGTTCCTTCTAGTACAATAAATCTGGACTATTTTTATCCAGATTTATTGTCTTAGGAGGGAGATTTCTCTTAGGTTGAAGTTTTTTTTGGACGGAAGGAGTACATTTCTGCATCTTCTTCACACAGCGTCTGAAACCACAAACTGCATGTCTGAATTGTGAACATCAAAACTGTCTGTTCTCCACCTTGCAGAGACTGTACATGCCAACTCTGAACCAGAGAGACTAGACCTACTACTGTCTCTGAACTCTGGAAGAGAAAAAAAAAAAAAGGGCGTTTGGTGCCTTGTTCCTTTCCAGAATACTACGGACCGACGTCGCCGCCTCGCCGGCCAAGCACTCACTCGCACCAGCTCAGCTGCATATGAGCTAAGGATGATATCTGCAAGCAGGCTGATCATCATGAGGCTGGCTCCTCCTCCTCTCCCCTCGCCGAAAGTTTCGCTCAACCACCATCCATGACGACGGACATGGTCAGCATCATCTTCTCGGCTTAGTCATTAGCATCACCCTACAAGGATTAATCGCGCACGAAAAACGAGACAAGTCATTAGCACATAATTAATTGAATCGTAATTATTAAAAGTTTGAAAAATGGATTTATTTGTTTTTTATAGCAACTTATATATAGAAAATTTTCGTACGAAGCACACTACTTTTTAACAGTTTGAGAAGCGTGCTAACGAGTACCGAAGAAAAAAAAATCTTTATCTTGTTAGAGTTTAGAAGGAGACCAGCTTTTGGACTGAACGGTTTGCATCTTGCTCTTGCGAGCACGCAGCAACCACGGGCGCGTTAGTGCGTTACGTTGGTACGCTGCGTACGCACGTACGCTAGGAGCAAACACGGCGCCGGTATTGCCACAGTGGGGGCAGTGGTGGGCTGGTGGCCACTTGTTGCTGCTCGCGGTCACGGATCGCGGCGAGGCTGGGTCTGTTCGTGGATATTTAGATTTTGAGAAGTGGCGTGTGGGAATTTAAATTGTGAGAATATACAAAAAAAATCAGTTCCATGGACTCTGTAACTATATCTTCTCTGAACGAAAAACCGATTTGTTTAGGAGAAACTTTTGATTCTGGAGAAGATGTAACTGTCTGAAGCTATCCTAAACAAACCGATATCTATTTTGGGACGCGGAATATTTTATCGATTTTCTCGTGGAATTTCATATGGAATTCCTACGGTTTTTTGAGATGCATGTGTTCATTTTCACTCCTATGAATCTATGATCAACTATTAATCACTTCTGCTTGCTGAATTATTGCAGTCTGCGGCAGGATAATTAATGGTTTACGTCTTCCTGCACTGTGGTTCAGAATCTAGCTTGGTGGCGATATCGTCCCCAAGTCCCATCACTCTACCACCAAAATGCTGCTACAATTTTGAAGCATTAGAAATTAGTTCAAGATCTACAAGTTTCAGACTTGAACTTGGCGTCAGCAATTTCTTGTCACGCATGGGCCTAGTTTAGGAGAGTAAGCGGGCCGACATGATAATGTTTCATGGGCTGATCTAAATGGGCCTACAGGACCCATAGAAGAACGGGCCTGAAGAATTGTTTAGGCAGAGAACTGTCGGTCGAAAATACAGTAAAGGCTTCGCTTTTCTAGTCCCAAATACCCTGTTCTGCGATTGCTAGAATTGTGACCTTAATAGCCTATAAATTCTATTCGCGATAGCACTCGTAATTCCATCTAATAACAATTTCGTACCGTTAGAAAACAATTTCGTACCCTTAAAAAACATTTCATACCAAATAGGCAGATCCGCTGATGCTACAAGTTCAGGAAAATGGATGGCGAATGCAGATTGCAGATAAACAATGTTTGGAGGGACGTCTCTCCCTCCAAATCTCAGCGTTCCCGGATAAACATCCTCTTCGTGTCTCAACATTTACTCTCATTTCCCCCTTTCTTTAGAGCAGAAAACCATCTGATTACTAGTGAACAGGTTAACATGGTGCTTGTCAAAAGGCTGTGCTACTGAAAATTGCTGAGCACTTCAGATTAGTAACTAATAACCATATCTTGACCGTTTAGCCGGTTCATCTGCTACTGAAATATACTCAATATTCTACACCATGCACATAATAGGGGAAAATCAGGGCAGAATAAATTAAGTGGCATCAATAGTAGTCCTACAGAAGAACAAACAACACAGGACGAATTATTTACTGTACGTTTAAACTTTTTTGTCACCTTTCAACCGATCAGACAATAACAAGTATGAAGAAAGAAATAAAAAATCATGTGCATCTTTCACAGCTAGCTGAAAAGCCTGAAAATGATGCGCAGTGTTATCTCATCTAAGTTTAAATAAACCGAGAGCTTGACATGCCAGATTATGAAAATGCGAAGAATACTAGAAATCAGTTATGATACTATGTAGCAGCAACTAGAATCCTGCTTAGATCGTCAGAAGAGATGCAGTAGCTTACCCCAGCCCCATCTTGGACAGTCAACAAGCAACTGAAGCAGACAACATTCAGTTGCTTGTTGACAATTCACTGTCATTCTTAAATCCATTTGATGCAGAGAATACTTAATTCTTACTGCTAATTAAGCACATTATGCACTAATGCAATCCAAATCATGGCTCATGGGTCTTGTGATCTCGTAGGCTTATCAAACTAACTGTTCCAGATGCTTAACAGTCCGATTCTAACCGAGTTAACACTAGTAATCAAGCGACCAACCATGAACCATCTCATGAACAATTGACCAACTATTAGACAAAATGGTGCTACAAGTTCAGAAAAATGAATATGCAGAGAAACATCCTCTCCGTGAATTTAACAAATTTACCACTCATTCTGCCCTGTTTGCAGAGCAGAATATCCTCTAATCAATCCTTAGTTTGTACAAATTGTCCTCTAATCAGTACTAGTGAACATATTAACAAAAGCCTGTTATCTCTAAATGATTTTGGCGACCAAGAAGCCCTCTGCTACTAAATTGTACTCAACATTCTACATCATGCACACAATCTAGGAATAAATCGTGGCACAGAAAGTAAATTCAGCACCATCAGTAGTAGCAATCTATAGAAGAACAAATGACATTCAGACGATCATACAACATCGCATGATGAAAGAAAACATAAACGACCTGCATCTTTCACATCTAGCTGAAAGCCTGAAACTGATCTGTGAACAGTTAACAAACTGAAATTTGGCTTCGGAGAAGAAATTCAGCTACATTGCAAATCCATTTCATGCAAAGAATTCTTCTATCAAGAAAATTAAGCACGGATAATTGGGCACATTTTCTCATTGCATTATTATTAACTGCATAAACAATGATGCATAGACTCAATCCAAGTACTGAAAGCCAAAACGTTGCTGCATTCATACAAATCATCAGACCAGAGTCCAGAGATCACATCACATGCATTGCGTTCATGCAAGTCTGACTCAGCAAGGAGAATTATACTGATTGATCGAGAATTATCATACCGGATCAGGAAGACTACATCATCCACCCAAACAAGAGGAGAAGGACATCTCGAACAAATCAATAGCGAATCATACCTGTACCAGGACGATCAAAACTAACATGAGCAATCTCAGGGGAGAAGCCACGCCGGCGGTGAGTAGTCCGACGGGCCTTGCTCCGGCAAGAACTTGTCCACACGCGGAACCCCCGCCGCATCCGCCGCCGGTAGCCACTTGCCGGTGTCTCTGCAGGGGTATTTCCCCGCGACGGCGCGAGAAGCGAACACTGTCGACTCGCGGTAGAGCCTCCCGTCATCCAGGAAGTAGACGCCCTCGCCGAACTCGTCGCCCGGATAGTCACCCGCGTCGTACGATCTGGAGCAGCCTCGCGCGACGAACAGCATCCGCTCACCCAGCGACTCCAGCTCCTTCCAGCCGTGCAGGGCCTTGTTCCGCTTCCTCGGCGGCGGCTGCACCATCTCGAACACCTTGAACGCCGATGTCGTCGGCGGCGCGGCAAGAGGAGCAGGAACGCGCCTGACCACCATGAGGAGATTGCCGCGGGACTCCACCAGGTAGCGAGCAACGACGTCTCCGCCATAATCGCGCCGGCCACGCCAGAAGCGAAGAATCACCCTGGGCGCCATCTTCATGTTGCCGTCGCCGTCTTCATGGAAATCCCGTGCTGTGAAAACATGGAGGTCTTCTTCTGCGGTGAGGAAAAGGAAGGCTCCCTTGTGGTGTATGACATCCTCCAGAGCTGGCTCGTCGATGGCACTAGGGCCATGCCCCATCGCCGCAACCTGATCCTGGGAAGCATTTGCTGACTGAACGCGCCAGAATGCGTGAGTGCGTCGAGCAGCCTGGAAGGGCCAGTAGGTGATGATGGCGGCGGCGACGCAATCCTCGTCCTCCGGTGGCGAAGAGAGCGTCGCGGCGAGCATGATCACACCAGTGTTAGGGACAGGGCCGTCTGGCCGCCCCAATTCAGCAGCCGTCTTGTCCGGGCGGACAAAAAAGGGGAGGTTGAAGCGCAGCTGATGGTCGCGGAGGCTGAGGAGCGTGTTGCGGCAGGTCTCGCCGAGGAAGATCCAGCCGCCGTCGTAGGCGCCGAAGCAGCGCGCGGCGCGCGCGCCGTCCGGGACGCCGAGGCCGTGCCCGCCGCAGCCGCGGAGGGCGCACGAGAAGGAAGGGCCGTCGGCGCGCGGGACGAGGATCCACGGGAGCGGGCGGAGATGCGGCGCGTTCTGCAGCGGCTTGACGGCGGCGCGCCAGTCGTGGCAGACGCGGGCCATGGTGCGGCGGTCGACGAGGCACGTGAGGCGGTTGTGGACGAGGCGGAGGGCTTCCGCCATGAAGTCGCGCGCGGGCGCCGCCGCGTCCATGGGAGAGGCGGAGGCGGAGGCGGGGGCGGGGGCGAGGCGTGGAGGTGGCGGTGGCGAGGGTTGGGCGGCGGCGGAGGAGGTGGAACGCGACGAGGACGCTTCGTCGTTGTGCGCCATGTTTGAACTTGGCTTCTGGAAGCAGGGGAAGAGAGGGGAACAGAGTGGATTGGTTTGGAAGAAGAAGCAGAGAAGGCCAGCCTTTTGCCAGCCGAGCAAGTGGTTGGGCCCAATTTATAGTGCCGGTTTTCTTGGGCCTGAAGTTTGGATCGCTGCTCTTTGCTGAGCGTTTCTTCTTGGGCCTAAATGTTTTTTTTTTTTGAGAACGTAAAGTTCGGATGTACATATGGTGCAGAATCGTGTCTAGCAGACAGGAGAAACAAATGGGAGCAGGGAAGGTTAACCCTTTTTTTTTTTTTTGAGAAAAGGCATTCAAGCAGGTTAACAGTTCAGATGGACAGATGGTTATTATCCTACAGGAAAAAAAAAGAGAAAAAAAAGATAGAAAAAGTTATTGGTCCAATGAGGTCATCATCTTTAGTAACATAGGCACACATGTTTTCTGTAGGCGATATGGTTAATCTTTTCATTAGTGCTGAACTGAAGGATGCTCAGTTCACAGCTCGTCCTTTACAGAGAGAAGGGGATGAGGAAATGTTGATACATACACAGGATGCTTATCTCTGAATTCCTTGTTCACTTTTTCTGAACTTGTGCATCAGTCTGATGGTACAACAAAAACACTAGATTAGACGCTCGCCAAGCCGTGCTTTTGCCGAAAATATACAGACATGGCACCCATCCGACCTCAAAACAAAAATATGCATGGCAGAGCTGGCATCACAAACGAACTCCCAGTTTGAATTTTAAATTCCCGGAAGGTCACTTATGAAAAAGAAAAAGTAAAGCCTTCATAAATTTTAGCCCATTTATCCGCCTCAAGATTTGGGGCCCAAGAAAGCTGGCCCTATAAATGAGGCCCAGTCCCCCATCCCCCTTCCAAACCAAGCACATCTCCTCCTTCTTCCAGAAGCAGAGGAATCCATCGGTTCCATTCCTCCTCCTCGCCTCGCCACCGGCAAGCCGCGCCTCCGCCTCTCCAATGGACTCGCCATGGCGCGACCTCGACGCCGACGTGCTCGGATTCATCCTCAAGCGTCTCCCGTGCCTCGTCGACCGGCGCCGCATGGCCCGAGTCTGCCGCAACTGGCGCGTCGCCGTCAAGCCTGAGCAGCCGCGGCCGGGGACGAGGCCGCTCCCATCGATCCTCGTCCCGCGCGCCGACGGGCCTTCCTTCGCGTGCGCCCTCGCCGGCTGCGCCACCCACGCCTTCCGCCCCCCGCTCCCGGCCGACGCACGCACCGCGCGCTACTTCGGCGCCTACGACGGTGGCTGGGTCTTCGTCGCCTTCGGCCAAATCCTGGACTACGCGCTACTCAGCCTCCGCAACGGCACGCGATTCCACTTCCCCGACACGGGCACGGACATGGTGGCCGCGACCCTCTCTTCGCCACCGGATGTACGATCCACGCGTTCATGTACGATCCACGCGTGATGTACGATCCACGCGTTCATGTGTTCTGGCGCATGGAGCATCAAGTTGTGGAGAAGGCGACTGCTGTTGAGTTCGTCACCACGTCAGTTCTGGAGGATGTCATACACCACAAGGGAAGCTTCCATTTCCTCACCAGGGAAGAAAACCTCCATGTTTTTCCTGTAGCGGGCTTCCACGAAGACGACGACGGCAATCTGGAGATACCGCCCATGGTGGTTCGCCGCTTCTCGCGTGGTGGGCGAGATTACGGCGGAGCCATCGCTGTTCGTTACCTGGTGGAGTCCGGCGAGAATCTCCTCATGGTCGTCAGGCTCGTTCCTCATCCTCCCCAACTGCCGCCGGGGACATGGGCGTTCAAGGTGTTCGAGATGGTGCATGAGACGCCCATCAACAACGACGGGGCACCATACGCTTGGAAGGAGCTGGAATCGCTGGGTGGGCGGATGTTGTTCGTCGCGCGAGGCTGCTCCAGATCGTACGACGCGGACAAGTATCCGGGCGCCGAGTTCAACGAGGGCGTCTACTTCCTGGATGACGGGAGACTCTACGATGAGGCGTTCCAAATCTTGAATCCCTTTGCCCAGTTCCCCTGCAGCGACAACGGCAAGTGGCTGCCGCCGGCGGCGGCGGCGGCGGCGGAGGCGGTTACCGGCCGCGTGGACAAGCTCTTGCCGGAGCAAGGCCCGTCGTACTACACGCCGCCGGTTTGGATTCTGCCGTGAGACTGCCATGTTCTTAGTTAGATTGTCTGATGACTTGTTGTCGTGTTGATATGGTTTGTTGATTTGTGCAATCGATGATGTGTTCTCGAGATCCATGTGTGCTTGCAATTGCTTGATCCATCATAGCATCTCTTCAGTACTCTGCTATTTTCACCATGTTAGACTAATGCAGAAATTGTTGGTTCTCATGACTCAGATTGCATTAATTAGTGAATCATTATATTGCAACGAACAATGATTCAGTGTGGGGGATCCTGTTCATGCCAATTTTTCAGGCTAATCCTCCTCTTCCCTCGCCGAAAGTCGCTTAATCAGCATCCACAGTGACAGTTATGCTGAATCAGCTTGATTCATGTCGAATTTCCCATGGGTCAATAACTTGAGACTCGTATTATTTTAATTTTCTGGAGTCTGTGAGTTCTTATCACTTTTTGTTTATTGAGTTCCAGACTGAACAGTAAAGAATCTGCAAGTGATACATCGAAGTCGTAGTGAACTGCCAAAATTTTCTCGTGGTTATTGCTGGTGATTAACCAACCAACCATCTAAATTTTACCAACATTTTCTTACCATCATTCACAAGATCCTGAGTGCAAATTCAGAAAAATGAACGGGCAATGCAGAGATAATTATCCTCCTCTCCGCGTGTCAACTTTTTCTCTCATTTGATCCACTCTTCTGTAGAGCAGGGAGGGCAGAAGAACATCATAATCTGATCAGTAGTTCAGTACTAGTGAACAGAATACCATGACGCCTAACATCAGGCTGTGTTACTGAAGTAATGCCTAAATGCTGATAACTTTGGGTGAATAACCATCTGTTAACTGTTTAACCATTCTTCACAACGTTCTACCTTATGCACCGTCCCGTACTGCCGAAGCGCCGCCGCCGTCCGAGAAGGGAGAGGCGGTGTAGCGAAAAGAGGGGGGGGGGGGGGAAGGGACGCGGACGACGACGACGACATGGAGATGGCGCGGAGCTGGAGGGGATTGCCTGCACGCCGCCGCCGCCGATCCGGTGGGGAAGAGAAAAGTGAGAGAAGGGAGAGAGAGAGAGAGGGGGAGGAATAAAGGATGATATGTGGGCCCCACATGTCAGTAGGTCTCACATATATTTTTTTAAAATTTTAATGCTATATAAGCGTCACGTGGCATGAAGACCAGATCAACACCCCCACGACAACAAAACCACCCTTCAAAATTGCTAGAGAATTCAAATTACACTGGTTTCAATAGTTCGGTCTTACCCGATATTTTAGTTAAGGGTCACGAATTAGATTTGATGAACAGTTAAGGAAGTTAAAGTGGATTTTTTTCCGAAGGTAAAATGTCTTTCTACATTTGAGCCCATTAATCTTCCTCACGGGGAAGATGCACTTGGGGGCTTGGGGCCCAAGAAAGCTAGCCCTATAAATGAGGCCCAGTCTGATCGCATGCTGGCCCACCCACCCTCTTCTTCCAAACCAAGCCGTCATCTCCACCCGCTTCCAGAAGGAATTTTTTCGTTTTTAGATTTTTTTTTAATATTTACAGAAATAATCTATCGACCAAAAAAATTGCAGAAATAGCCCCTGCCGCCCAAATGGTGGGCGGCAAGCTGACGTAGCAGACGGTGGGTCGACCGCGCCGTCTGCCGCCGTCGGCCAAAATTGCGATTAGGCCCTTGCCGCCCATACAGAGGGCGGCAAGGGGCTAATTGTAATTTTGGCCGCCCATTCAGAGCTTGCGGCCATACTTTTTCATCTGGGTCCCTTGCCGCCCCAATAGAGGGCGGCAAGGGACCCAGATGAAAAAAGTACGGCCAAAAGATTTTTCTATGTTATGTTAATAATAAATAAAGAAGTATTTATTGGTAAAACTTGTTAATATTGTTATAAAAATGTATTGAAGTTGGTTGTTGCGCAATTTCATATGTTAAGTGAGGTATTATTTTGTACCTTATTCGACGTATTAGTACTCGGATAATTTATATAGGCATATCGCAGTCTAGGTCATAGAAACATTATATGGACTTAAACAAGGAGAATTATGTAACATGAAGAAATAGTAGTACAATTTGAACATGATACAACTATTTGCATTGCAGTTACATAGATGATATTAGATTCGAACTAGGAGGGAGGTAGTGCAATAGTTGAACACAACGACGATGTAATAATGGGACAAGGAAGCATGACAGTAGAAATTTCAATATGCCAAGTTGTCCGATAATAGCTAACCCCTACGTGAGGATCCCTCTCCTCTCTCAAACCGCGCTTTAGTAACCCTGTATTGCTCTGGTAGTTCAAGCTGCACAACACGGCTAGGTGGAGTTAGAACCCTTCTGGTGTCTATCCATTCTCTGTATTGACATCTCCTTGGTGGTTCCTGGGAGGAAAGAATAGATGTAAAGCAAGCAAAGTTAGTAAATGTTGTGAGAAAATAAGGAATCATGTAATCAAAATATTCTTACCATGAAATCGTCGTCAAGAATATTTGGACAAACAAAGAACCTTCGACCCAATGTTGTAGGATTTATGGAACGAAGAACCTGACAACGATCACCACACCTGTATCTTGGACGGGCTTCCCATGGAGGGAGTGCCGTAGTTAGCACCCGCCAGTCGCTCTGTTGTTCACGACATTGTCGTTCATAAGCCGCTTTTCTCTGTAAGTATTGCTCAGTACTTTCGGATGCGAAATACCAGCGACCTTCTTGTAAACAAGTGGTTAGGTCGAGAACGGGATTTTCTGTATCGACCCACTCGATGTATGCGCAAGCCGTAGTGCGGATCTGCCGAATAGAGTAGTGTTACGAAGAATAAAGCGATTGCCCATACGGAATGAATAAGCATATGCAGATAATAAAATACCTCACGGTCATAGTTAGGGCACCTAAAAAAGCGCCTTCCTCGAATATCAGGATTCCTCGAAGCCATTAGTTGGCATCGATCACCGCATAGGCAGAGAGGACGCTGGCACCAAGGTGGTAGTAGGTATACACAAGGATCGCTACGCCAGTTTGGATCCTCAACACCCCGGCGTCTAGCCATTGACGAAAGCCGGTCGGATTTGTAATGAAGCAAGTGGGGAAGAGAGTACTGAATGTGACTGAGTTCTGAAAGATTGTGAGGGCTCACTCTCAACAAAAGCAAATGCCAAAGGCAATACCTGATTGTTCCCATCTACCCCTATTGCTGTTAGTATCTGGCCCCGATACTTTCCTGTCAAGAATGTCCCATCAATGCAGAGAACAGGACGACAGTTCACGAATGCCATCTTGCATGCATGTAGAGCTAAGAACGCCCTTTGCAGCACACTCTTGCCAGGATGTTCAATTGAGGGGAATTTCTTCACTTCGTAAGAGCTCCCAGGGTTTCTTTCCTCGATAACACCAAGCAGGCGTGGCAAATTATCATACGAGGCTTCGTAAGTTCCAAATCTCATCTCTATTATTTTCTGTTTGGCCCTCCAGGCCTTGGCATAGCTAATAGTATACTTGTATGTCTCTTCAATGTGTCGGATTATTGACCTTGGTTCATATGTGAGATTATCGATGACATGCGCATACATCTCAGATGCAACAAATGCACATGTAATGTTCATGTGGTATTTCTGAACACTAGGTAGAAAACATGTATGCTTGGTAACAACTGACACTGTCCAATAATCCTTCCATTTCCCCTTATACGCGTGCACTCTCCAGGGACAACCATCTTTTTCCTTAACACACCGAACTTCATATTGCGACCGGTTCGACTTGGCAACCCAAAACTCTCTATGAAGTGACACTGCAAAATGTTTTACCGCCTCCTTCATATCTTCTGCTCTACTATAAATCGCTCCCTGAATAACCTCATTTTCTTTGTACTCCCATCTCACACTATCCTCTTCAGAGACGATCAGCCTAGAAAAATCCTCACTAGCCCATTCTGCTGGATTAATATCCGTCTCATCATCTGACGAATCAACTTCCTCTACACGCTCGTTGTCAGAATCCTCCCTCTCCATTTCATCCACAATGGCACCGACAGTCTCCCCCTCGTCAGCCACTCCACCTGGTTGAATGCCCACTGGAGCTACTACGCCCCCGTCCTCTCGTGCGTTGACCTCCTCCACAGAAGTCTCGTTTACTTCAGCACTTGGTCCCTCGCCATCATCCATGTTCGTCTGCACACCTGGATCCTTCGGGTGAACAAACGGAACCAAAGCTAGAGGCCACCCGCGTTGCAATGCATTTTCCAAATACCATCTCCACACTCGAGAGTTTTGAACTGGCATTAGTTCCCAATAAAAACCCTCAGTTGCCCGACTTACTATAACATTGATTGTTATGTCACTTGTCTGTGGATCAACTCTCAAGCCCCTCATTAACCATCCTTTTATAGAAGGTACACTCCTCTCAGCCGGTCTCTCAATTCCCCTTTCTGATACAATAAAATCTGACAGATCTACCCCAGTTGGCCCGTAACGGACGTTTCCTGGTCCATGGTAAACTTGGAATATTTGTTTGTTCGACATATCTGTCAACGAAATAACTAGATCATATTACTCTTTCATGCAATAAACATCTACAACGTAATATCTTCTTGTGTAAGCCAATGCAACGGTAATGTATTAATTCCAAACTAGCAGATCTACGTAGTTACCGATATCTACAATACGCACTTCTAGATTAGTACAACTAAAACCCTAAAAATATAATGCATTTATTCAAACAAATTTTTAAAGAATACACACTATTTAACTCAATAGTCACATATAGGATCTATGAATATTACCTGAAATCGGCGTCTGAATCCGGCAGGGCTTCGCCCCTTCTTCTCTTCTCCTCCCCTCTCTTCTTTTTTTTTCACTGGAATTGAGGAGAGAAGAATGAGGGCTGGGGGCTGGGCAGCAGGCCTTTTATAGGCAGCGAGGCCTGCCGCCCGGCCAGAGGGCGGCAAGGGGCCGCCTGCAAAATAGCCGGCCCCGACTGGCTTTTTTGCATTCGGGCCCCTTGCCGCCCCACCAGAGGGCGGCAAGGGTTTTCCTGCAAAAAACCCTCCCTCCGTCACCGTCCGTTCCTCCCCCGTTTGCCACGTCAGCTTGCCGCCCCAGAGGTGGGCGGCAGGGGCTATTTCTGCAATTTTTTTGGTCGATAGATTATTTCTGTAAATATTTAAAAAAAAATCTAAATCCGAAAAAAATTCCTTCCAGAAGCAGAGGAACCCATTCCCCACACACACACACCTCGCCACCGGCAAGCCGCGCCTCCGCCTCTCGAGCCCTCTCCAATGGACGCGCCATGGTTCTACCTCAACGCCGACGTCCTCCGCCTCGTCCACAAGCGCCTCCCGTGCCTCGTCGACCGCCGCCGCATGGCCCGAGTCTGCCACAACTGGCGCGTCGCCGTCGCGCCGCAGCCGCAGCCGCCGCCGGGGACGAGGCCGCTCCCGTCGATACTCGTCCGGCGCGCATACAGGACGTCCTTCGCGTGCGCCCTAGCCGGCTGCGCCACCCACGGCTTCGGCCACCCGCTCCCGGCCGACGCACGCGCCGCGCGCTACTTCGGCGCCTACGACGGTGGCTGGGTCTTCGTCTGCTTCTACCGCACCCTGGACTATGCGCTCCTCAGCCTCCGCGGCGACGAGAAATTACCCCTCGCTGACGTCGAGACGCTCACGGACATGGTGGCCGCGACGCTCTCTTCGCCACCGGACGACGAACACTGCCTCGCTGCCGCCATCGGCCACAGCTGCGTGATGTACGATCCACGCGTTCATGTGTTCTGGCGCATGGAGCATCAAGTTGAGGAGAAGGCGACTGCTGTTGAGTCCGTCACCACGTCAGTTCTGGAGGATGTCATACACCACAAGAAAGCCTTCCATTTCCTCACGAAAGAAGAAAACCTCCATGTTTTTTCGGTACCGGGCTTCCACGAAGACGACGACGGCAATCTGGAGATACCGGCCAAGGAGGTTCGCCGCTTCTCGCGTGGTGGGCGAGATTACGGCGGAGGCTTCGCTGTTCGTTACCTGGTGGAGTCCGGCGAGAGTCTCCTCATGGTCGTCAGGCTCGTTCCTCATCCTCCCCTCTTTCCGCCGACGACATGGGCGTTCAAGGTGTTCGAGATGGTGGAGACGCCGCTGGGGACTCCCATCAACAACGACGAGGCACCATACGCTTGGAAGGAGCTGGAATCGCTGGGTGGGCGGATGCTGTTCGTCTCGCGAGGCTGCTCCAGATCGTACGATGCGAACAAGTATCCGGGCGATGAGTTCAAGGAGGGCGTCTACTTCCTGGATGACGGGAGACTCTACGATGAGGCGTCCCAATTCGTGAATCCCCTTCCCCAGTACCCCTGCAGCGACAACGGCAAGTGGCTGCCGCCGCCGCCGGCGGCGGCGGCGGAGGCGGTTACCGGCCGCGTGGACAAGCTCTTGCCGGAGCAAGGCCCGTCGTACTACACGTCGCCGGTTTGGATTCTGCCGTGAGACTGCCATGTTCTTAGTTAGATCGTCTGATGACTTGTTGTCGTGCTGATATGGTGGTTGTTGATTTGTCCAGTTAATCGATGATGTGTTCTCGAGATCCATGTGTACCTGCAATTGCTTGATCCATCATAACATCTCTTCAGTACTCTGCTATTTTCACCATGTTAGACTAATGCAGAAATTGTTGGTTCTCATGACTCAGATTGCATTAATTGCATCATTATATTGCAACGAACAATGATTCAGTCTGGGGGATTGCATCATTATCCTGTTCATGCTAATTTTTCAATTTTTCAGGCTAATCCTCCTCTTCCCTCTTCGAAAGTCGCTTAATCAGCATGGCATCTACCGTGACAGTTATGCTCAATCAGCTTGATTCATGTCGAATTTCCCATGGACCAATAACTTGAGACCCGTGTTATTTTAATTTTCCGGAGTCTGTGAGTTCTTATGACTTTTTGTTTATTGAGTTCCAGACTGAACAGTAAAGAATCTGCAAGTGATGCATCAAAGTCGTAGTGAACTGCCAAAATTTTCTCGTGGTTAATGCTGGTGATTAACCAACCAACCATCTAAATTGTACCAACAATTTCTTACCATCAATCACAAGATCCTGCATGCAAATTCAGAAAAATGAACGGGCAATGCAGAGATAATCATCCTCCTCTCCGCGTGTCAACTTTTTCTCTCATTTAATCCAGTCTTCTGTAGAGCAGGGAGGGCAGAAGAACATCATCATCTGATCAGTAGTTCAGTACTAGTGAACAGATTACCATGACGCCTAACATCAGGCTGTGTTACTGAAGTAATGCCTAAATGCTGATAACTTTGGATTAATAACCATCTGTTAACTGTTTAACCATTCTTCTGCTACTAAAACATACACAACGTTCTACCTTATGCACAGAATAAAGGAATACATTGTGGTGCAGTAAATAAATTCAGTAGAATCAATAGTACTCCACTAAGATTCAGACGATTATACAACAACAGAACCGAGCAACTAGTATCAAGAACAAACAGGTAAACTATCGGCATCTTTCACAGCTAGCTGAAACCGATGTGTATCAGTAATTTGGTAAACTTAACATGCTACATTATGAGTTAGGAAAATATGTAGCAGCCATCGAAAATTCTGCTAAAATCCACTGAAGAGTGGCACTACCTCAGCCCATCCTGGACTGTCAGCAAGCAACTGAAATTCAGCTAACTTATGAACAAGTGAATAGTTAATTCAGTTAGGAACATGTGTAGCAGCCATTGAAAATTCAGCCAAGTCCATCTTGCACTGTCAGCAAGCAACTGAAAGCAGGCTGCAGAAGCAAATTCAGCTTCACTGTAAAATACATTTGATGCAAAACATGCTTCTATCCTGAAAAATAAGCACTGAAAATTACACATTGCAATCTTACCGACTAATGAAATCCAAGCCAAGAATGGCAACCATTGTAATTCATGTAGAATTCATCAGATCACATATTCATGCTGAGTTGAATATACTGCATTCATTATTCATGTAATTCTGGCTTGCATACTCTTTCTGATAGAAGAGGAGAATTTACCAAGTACAATCTCCACTGCTCCAGCATTGTAGCAGCTGTACCAATCCACGATTATGACATCAAATCTGGACTGAAACTACACTAATCGATCGCAGCAAGAGGAGACGGGACAGAGTACAACGGCTGCAAGCTAAACCACATCTCGGGGGATCGAATCGACAGCAAGCAAAAACCTGTAGCTCGACGGCAATCTCAGGGGAGAAGCCACGCCGGCGGCGAGTAGCTCGACGGGGCTTGCTCCGGCAAGAACTCGACCACTCGGGGATTCGCCTCCGCCGCTGGCAACCACTTGCCGGTGTCTCTGCAGGGATACTCCCGGAAATCGGGCTCACCGAGCATCAACTCCTCGTCGTAGAGTCTCCCGTCATCCAGGAAGTAGACGCCCTCGCTGAACTCGGAGCCCGGATTGTTGTTCGCGTCGTACGATCTGGAGCAGCCTCGCGCGACGAACAGCATCCGCCCACCCAGCGATTCCAGCTCGTTCCAGGCGTATGGTGCCTCGTCGTTGTTGATGGGAGTCCCCAGCGGCGGCTCCACCATCTCGAACACCTTGAACGCCGACGTCCTCGGCGGCAATTGGGGAGGATGGGGAACGAGCCTGACGACCATGAGGAGATTCTCGCCGGACTCCACCAGGTAGCGAACAGCGTTGTTTTGGCCGTAATCTCGCCCGCCACGCGAGAAGCGATGAACCTCCACGGGCGGTATCTCCAGATTGCCCTCGTCGTCTTCGCGGAAGCCCGCTACCGGAAAAACATGGAGGTTTTCTTCTCTCGTGAGGAAATGGAAGGCGTCGTCGTGGTGTACGACATCCTCCAGAGCGTGGCCGCTGATGACCTTTGCAGGTTTCGCCGCCTTCTCCGGCGCAGCCGCAGATTGACGCCGCATGGGCCAGAACGCGTGAGTGCGTAGATCGTCAATCAGGAAGGAGAGGTTGATGGCGGCGGCGAGGCAGCGTTCGTCGTCCGGCGGTGAGGAGAGGGTGGCGGCCACCACGGCCATGCCGATGTCGGGGATGTGGAGCCGGTCGCCGTCGCGGAGGCTGAGGAGCGCGTAGCCCACGGTGTGGCCGAAGGCGACGAACGCCCAGCCGCCGTCGTAGGCGCCGAAGTAGCGCGCGGCGCGCGCGTCGTCCTTGAGCGGGTGGGCGAAGCCGTGGGTGGCGCAGCAGCCGGCGAGGGCGCACGCGAAGGACGGGCCGTCCGCGCGCGGCACGAGGATCGACGGGAGCTTGCTGCGCTGCCTCTCCGCGACGGCGAGGTGCCAACTGTGGCAGACCCGGCCCATGCGGCGGCGGTCGACGAGGCACGGCAGGCGGCTGTGGATGAGGCGGATCACGTCGTGGTGGAGCGACTCCATTGGAGAGGAAGCGAAGCGAGGTGAGGCGAGGCGATCGATTGCGACGATGTGGCTGCGTGGGATTGATTGCTCTGTTTCTCGAAGCGGGAGGTGGGAGATGGGTGGCTTTGGTTTGGAAGAGGCAGGGGGTTGGGCTGGGGAACGAAGCTATCAGACTGGGCATTATTTATTGGGCCAGTTTTCGTGGGCCCCACGGTTTTACTTTTTCACTGGGCCAATAGGGCCAGCCTGCTCGATATTTCAAAACCCATATTCCAATGTACTCGTATCATAATCTCTCAAATTCAACACGCATTTTTTCGGAGTAAAACGAAACAGAAATACTGAAATAGGGTGACCATTGCTATTCTGCATCAACCGGGTGAACACAAATTATTCAGAATCAAAATTTCAAAACTCAAGCAGGGAGATGGGTGTCAATGTGTCATTCTCGGCAAAAGCATTGCTTGGCGTTTTACCATATAGGTACTGAGAAAGGGGAAACAACCGTCTGAAGAACTTTTTTTTGGTGGTACCACTACCATCAGACTATGCTACAATTTCAGAATGACCAAATGAGCAACCAATTTTTCCTGTAGAGCAGATGACCAAATGAGCAGAACATCCTCTGTTCAGTAGCAGTGAACTGATTAATGAAACAGTTATCAACATACATGTATCTGTGTGGTACTATACTGATAGTACCACTGAATTTGTTTTTCCCGTGCCACGATCTATTCCTACAGAAGAACAAATAACACAAGGTAGATTATTTACTACCCCGATGCAACTGATCATAAAGCAACTAACTAGTCCTATGAAGAAAGCAAAGATAAACGATCTACTTCTTATACGGAAACTGAAAATCCGTTTGATCCGAAGCACTGCTGCAAATATGCAATCTAAGCCATTAACACCAACCATTTTCTGGACAGCAACTGAAATCATGAAGTGAAGTATTGAAGAGATGTTATGGCAGATCAAACAATTGCAAGTACACTGCACACATGGACGAAACATCACAGACTGAAGTAACCGGACAATCAACAACTGTCATATCTGAAGTTCAGAACTGGCTCAAAGAAAAAAGTTGCTATGAAACAACTAGTATGAAGAAAGAGAAGAGAAACAATCTGCATGTTTCCCAGCAGCAATTTGAGAAGCCCATTAAAAATTCAGCTAACTTATGGAAAAGTGAATAGATAATAAAGTTATGAAATGTGTGGGAGCCATTGAAAATTCAGCTAACTCCATCTTGGACTGCTAGCAAGCAACTGAAAGCAGGGTGCAGAAGCAAATTCAGCTTCACTGTAAAATCCATTTGATGCAAAACATGCTTCTATCAGGAAAAATAAGCACTGAAAATTACACATTCCATTACTATTGACTGCAATATCATTGCTGCATAGATGTAATTCATCAGACCACACTGCATTTCTGCTACAAAAGGAGAATTTACTAGGTAGCTCCAGCATAGTAGCAACTGTACCAACCGACAATTATCACACCAATCTTGACGGAAACATCAAACTGTTGACTGAAACTACACTATAGCACATTTCAGACAGGTGAAACTAACATGAGCACTCTCAGGGGAGAAGCCAAGCCAGCGGTGAGTAGTTCAACGGGCCTTGCTCCGGCAAGAACTTGTCCATGCTGCTACCCGCCGCCGCCGCCGTCCACTTGCCGTTGTCTCTGCAGGGGTATTCTGGGGAATCGGGAGCCAAGAACGATAACCCCTCACGGTAGAGTCTCCCATCATCCAAGAAGTAGACGCCCTCGTTGAACTCAGCGTCCGGGTAGTTGTTCTTGCTGTACGATCTGGAGCAGCCTCGCGCGACGAACAGCATCCGCCCACCCAGCGATTCCAGCTCCTTCCAAGCGAATGCGGGCTCCTTGTCGTGGATGGGAGTCCTCGTCGGTGGCTCCACCATCTCGAACACCTTGAACGCCGACGTCCTCGTCGGCAAGAGAAGAGGATCGGTGACGAGCCTGACGACCATGAGGAGATTCCCGCCGGACTCCACGAGGTAGCGAACAGCGACGGCTCCGCCGTAATCTCGCCCGCCACGCGAGAAGCGATGAACCTCCACGGGCGGTATCTCAAGATTGCCGTTGACGTCTTCGTGGAAGCCCGCTACAGGAAAAACATGGAGGTTTTCTTCTCTTGTGAGGAATTTGAAGGCTTTGTTGTGGTGTATGACATCCTCCAGAACTGACGTGGTGACGAACTCAGCAGGATCATGAGTCGCCTCCTCCGCAACTCGATGCCTCAGGATCCCGAATGCATGGATTCGTGGATTGTCCATCATGCAGGAATGGCTGATGGCGGCGGCGACGCAGCGTTCGTCGCCCGGAGGCGAAGAGAGGGTCGCGGCCACCATGCCCATGCTCATGTCGGGGACGTGGAATCGCGTGCCGTTGCGGAGGCTGAGTAGCGCGTACTCCAGAATTCGGCCGAAGGCGACGAAGACCCAGCCACCGTCGTAGGCGCCGAAGTAGCGCGCAGCGCGTGCTTCGGCCGGGAGCGGGTGGCCGAAGCCGTGGGTGGCGCAGCCGGCGAGGGCGCACGCGAAGGAAGGCCCGTCGGCGCGCGGGACGAGGATCGACGGGAGCGGCCTCGTCCCCGGCGGCGGCTGCGGCTGCGGCTGCGGCTTGACGGCGACGCGCCAGTTGTGGCAGACTCGGGCCATGCGGCGGCGGTCGACGAGGCACGGGAGGCGCTTGTGGACGAGGCGGAGGACGTCGGCGTTGAGGTTGAACCATGGCGCGTCCATTGGAGAGGGCGAGAGGCGGAGGCGCGGCTTGCCGGTGGCGAGGTGTGTGTGGGATTGATTCCTCTGCTTCTGGAAGCGGGTGGAGATGACGGCTTCGTTTGGAAGAAGAAGGTGGGTGGGCCAGCACGCGATCAGTTTGGACCTCTTTTATAGGGCTAGCTTTCTTGGGCCCCAAGTGTATCTCCCTCGTGAGGCAGATTAATGGGCTCAAATGTATAATGGGCCTCATTTATTCTCTATGGGCTTTTAGATGGCCTTTTATGTAGCCCACGAGGCCATGAACGCCCAATGCGAGAAGGATCAGACGATCAGTATCATGTCCTCCTAGTCTCCTACTGATGTGTGCAATTTTTCCTACTCTGAATCAGCCTCGTCTAAGATAATTTTTCTCGTCTAAGATAATTCCTAATCCTAATAAAAAATTTCAAAACTAAAACAGGGGAGTCGGTTGTGACGCCAACTCGTCATGCCTAGTGTTTTGAGGTCGGATGGGTGCCATGTCTAGTGTTTTGTGTAGCACTTTTTTAACGAACCGGCACTTTTGAGTAGCATTGAAAGGAAACATATTGAATGATGTTGAAATAAGAAACTATGCGAAGTAAAATATAGAAAAGACTCCTAACTAAATACAAAGTAATTATATTGAGAGGAGAAAGTAATTTTCTTTATTTGGAAGTAATCACTATAAATATTTTGTAAAGAGTAATTTAGCGTCATATAGAAAATAACTCTTTAGGTATTCAAAGTAATTACACACTTGGAAGAAAATAATCTTTTTATAAAAAGAATAGAAGTAACTTTTTATGGTGTTAGATGTAAGTACACTTCTAGAGGGAAGTAAAACTGATAAGATAGAAGTACTTTTTATGGGATTAGAAAAAACTTTGAAGAAATAGAAGTAGCTTTTAACATTACTAGAGTAACTATATTGCTAGAAAAAAAAGCAAGTCTGGAGAAATAGAAGTTACTCTTCACGGTATTAGAAGTAACTCAGTGCTAGAGGAAAGTAACTCTAAAAACAAAATAAAAGCAAATATTTACCCCACGTTACTAGAAATAACTATATTGCTGTAAGAAAGTAACTTTTCATGGTATCTAAAGTAACTACACTGCTATAAGAGCTAAGAACAAGAATACAATTTTAAAATAATTTAAATATATTAAATATTGGACTTGTTTTATCACATATTTTGAGCGGAGTACAATAGGTCAAACGGATGTTAAAAATAATATATCTCTATCTCTACTATTATAAAAATTGAAGATGTTTTTACCGGTATTTTGGTAAGTCATCCGTATTTGAATCGGTTATTAAGTTCGTTCTATTTTGGAAATACATATCCATGTTTGAGTCGGATTTTAAGTCTGTTTGCTTTAGAAAATACAAAAGAAGTCATATAAAAAATTTCTTTAAAAAAACTTGTATGGTCACTTGAGAGTAAAGTTGGACTCCTAATTATAACTCATGATTTTCTAAAAAAATATTCAAGCGAATTCACACAGTGAATTTCATCCCATGTAAATCGTATAACAATAATAGGATTAAAATAACATTCACCTGTTGCAATGTTGCAACGCACATGCATTTTTTCTAGTAATTTAAAAGATATAAGTGGAGAAGAACAGCAAATTAATAGTTATGAACTTAATATGTAGCATCCGCTTAAATGGATCCTGAGAATTGAAGCAACTGAAACCAATCTCAAGAAGCAATTCATCGATCTTCACTGCAAATCGGTTTTGATGCAATGCAATGCATTCTTTTAACAGAAAAAACGCTAAGTAATGTTGAGTAAACACATCGCAGAAAATGCATTACTAACTACAACACGACGATGATCCACTAAGCATGTGTTTGGTTTCGGGACTAGATGGGATGGGATGAAACCATTCATCCCTAATTTTGGGGTTGGGATGATTCCACTCACATGTTTGGTTTGTAGGATGGGACAATCCCAATTTTTTTGTTTGGTTGAAGGGATGAGGGAGAAATGGGATGGACGCTGTTTGCCATCACCGTCAACGACCGTTGACTGCGCCACCTGCATCCACGCGTGGAACAACCGGATCAAGCACAACGGCAGCAGCAAGACGGCCACCACCGCCGGAGCACCCAACCCGCTGGCCCACCGTCGTCACCGCGGCTGGATCGGGAGATCCCCTGCGCCAGATCCGCCGCCACCGCTCTCCCTACCTTCAAGTTTCGCCGCCGCCGAGTCCCCCTCCTCTGGATCTGCCGCCGCCGCCCTCCCTACCTCCAAGCTTCGCCGCCACTCGAGCCCGCCGCGTCGACATCACCGCAGCCGCTCTCGTCGAGCATCGCGATGAGTGGCGGGATGGTGCCGAGCATCTCGCTCGTGGCGGCGACCAGTGTTGAGGCAGGGGGTCGTGGAGGAGCGTCGGCGGTCGTGGAGGAGCGTCGGCGGTCGTGGAGGTGGTGGCAGGCGGTCGTGGCGGAGCGCCGGCGGTCGCCGAGGAGACACTGTGTGCTCCGTCCAAGTGGGACGAGCTCGTCCGGCCAATTTTGCCGGATGGGTTTGTCCCGGATCTGGGAGGAATATTCCTCTCTAGAGACCAACCCATTCCACTCGCCCCTCAACAAAACACCTCTAAAAGTAAGTTCGTCCCATCCCGTCCCATCCCATCCTATTCCACCAACCAAACATTACCTAATGCAATCGAACTATCGAAGACATGAACACCAACCACCATGAGGCTGGCCTTCTCTGACTCTGCCTCTTCTTCCAAACCAAGCCACTCTGTGTCTCTTCTCTTCCCCTGCTTCCACAAGCCAAGTTCAAACATGGCGCACACGATTCTGCACCATGTACATCCAAACTTTACGTTCTAAAAAAAAAGGGGAACATTTAGGCCCAAGAAGAAACGCTCAGCAAAGAGCAGCGATCCAAACTTCAGGCCCAAGAAAACCGGCACTATAAATTGGGCCCAACCACTTTCTCGGCTGGCAAAAGGCTTGGCCTTCTCTGCTTCTTCCAAACCTCCCATTCACTCTGTTCCCCTCTCTTCCCCTGCTTCCAGAAGCCAAGTTCAAACATGGCGCACAACGACGAAGCGTCCTCGTCGCGTTCCACCACCTCCTCCGCCGCCCAACCCTCGCCACCATCACGCCTCGCCCCCGCCTCCGCCTTCGCCTCTCCCATGGACGCGGCGGCGCCCGCGCGTGACTTCATGGCGGAAGCCCTCCGCCTCGTCCACAACCGCCTCACGTGCCTCGTCGACCGCCGCACCATGGCCCGCGTCTGCCACGACTGGCGCGTCGCCGTCAAGCCGCTGCAGCACGCGCCGCATCGCCGCCCGCTCCCGTGGATCCTCGTCCCGCGCGCCGACGGCCCTTCCTTCTCGTGCGCCCTCCGCGGCTGCGGCGGACACGGCCTCGGCGTCCCGCACGACGCCCGCGCCGCGCGCTGCTTCGGCGCCTACGACGGTGGCTGGCTCTTCCTCGCCTTCCGCGAGACCTTCCGCCACAAGCTCCTCAGCCTCCGCGACGTTCAGCTGCGCCTCCGCCTCCCCTTCTTTGTCCGCCCGGACATGACGGCTGCTGAATTGGGGCGGCCTGTCCCTTACATTGGTATGGTCATGCTCGCCGCGACCCTCTCTTCGCCACCGGAGGACGAGGATTGCGTCGGCGCCGCCATCATCACCTACGGGCCCTACGAGGCTGGTCGACGCACTCACGCATTCTGGCGCGTGCAGTCAGCGAAGGCTTTCCCGGATCAGGCTGCGGCGATGGGTCATGGCTCCGATGCCATCGACGAGCCAGCTCTGGAGGATGTCATACACCACAAGGGGGCCTTCCTTTTCCTCATCACAGAAGAAGACCTCCATGTTTTCGCAGTACGGGATTTCCATGAAGACGGCAAAGGCAACATGAAGATGGCGCCCAGGGCGATTCGTCGCTTCTCGCGAGGTGGGCGCGATTATGGCGGAGACATCGTTGTCCGCTACCTGGTGGAGTCCCGCGGCAATCTCCTCATGGTGGTCAGGCGCGTTCCTGATCGTCTACACGCGCCGCCGAGGACGTCCGCGTTCAAGGTGTTCGAGATGGTGGAGCCGCCGTCGGGGACGCGCATCGAGGCCCTGTACGCGTGGAACGAGCTGGAATCGCTGGGTGGGCGGATGCTGTTCGTCGCGCGAGGCTGCTCCAGATCGTACGACGCGGGCGACTATCCGGGCGATGAGTTCGGCGAGGGCGTCTACTTCCTGGATGACGGGAGGCTCTACCGCGAGTCGGCAGTGTTCACGGCTCGGCGGCGGCGACGGCGATATCCCTGCAGAGACACCGGCAAGTGGCTACCGGCGGCGGATGCGGCGGGGGTTCCTCGTGTGGACAAGTTCTTGCCGGAGCAAGGCCCGTCGGACTACTCACCGCCGGGGTGGCTTCTCCCCTGAGATTGCTCATGTTACTTTTGATCGTCCTGGTACAGGTATGATTCGCTGTTGATTTGATCCTCCGAGATGTGGTTTAGTTTGCAGCCGTTGTACTTTGTCCCGTCCCGTCTCCTCTTGCTGCGATGGATTAGTGTAGTTTCAGTCAACAGTTGCAGTTTCAGTCTAGATTTGATGTCATAATCATGGATTGGTAGTTGCTATGATGCTGGAGAAATTCTCCTTTTGTAGCAGAAAATGTTTTCAAGTCAGAACTACATGAATCGTGAACGCAGTATGAAACTATGAATTTGTGTGATCTGATGCTGCAGTGAATCAAGAACGCAATATGCTTCCAATGGTTGCCGTTCGTCATGACTTGGATTGCATTAGTACATCGTTATGCTGCAGTCAATAACAATGCAATGTGTCACTTGCAGTGGCTAGTTTTCCTGATAGAAGTATGTTTTGCATCAAACGGTTTTGCAGTGAATCTGAATTGCTTCTGCGTCCTGTTTTGAGTTTCTTGCTGACAGTCCAAGATGAACTGAGGTAGGCTAGTGCCACTCTTCAGAGGATCGAGAAATGCCCAGGGGTCTTCCGGCTAGCTCCACAAGGTGGTGGGCTAGACGACCTGGATTCAAAGCCTCACCCCTCCTAATTATTTGATATTAGGTCCTTCCCTAATATTCTAGTTTTTTTTTTCTCTTCAGAGGATCTGTTCCTATGTTATGTGCATAATGTAAAATGTGGAGTATATTTCTTCAGTCAAGAGGTATTTCTTCAGATCCTAAGTTATCAGCATTTCTTCAGTAACACAGATGATAGGCAGCGTGTTAATATGATCACTAGTACTGATCAGATGATGTTATACTATCAGCATTTCTTCGGTAACACAGCCTGATGGCTGATGGTAGGTTGGTAGGCATCATATCTGTTAATCTGTACGGGTAGTTTTACCATCATATCTGTGTTACTAAAGATGATGATCACATTGGACCAATAAATCTCTCCTTTTCTTTTTCCTCTCTTTTTTATTTTTGGCCGGGAGGACCAATAACCATCTGTCCAACTCTACATGCTCCCATGTGTCCATATGAATCAACCTAGTGAATCCGCATGCTTGAATATGAATGCATTTTCCTCAAAATCACGGCTTGGCGTTCCCAGTAAGTAATTAAGCAATGAACTGGTTTTAACTGCACCATTGGACAGGATGCCACAAAGTTGAGAAAAGTAAACAATGAATGCAGAATTTCTGAATTTCTGATTAGATCCTCAGAAGAGATTTGAAGCAAACCGAAAGCAAGCTGCACTGCTGCAGAAGCAGTTTCGTCTTCCCTGCAATCTGAGTCATGAACACCAACAATTTCTGCATTAGTCTAACATGGTGAAAAATAGCAGAGAGTACTGAAGAGATGTTATTATGGATCAAGCAATTGCAAGCACACATGGATCTCGAGAACGCATCATCAACTGCCCTAACTGGGCAAATCAACAACCACCATATCAAATCAAGACGCGAAGGAAGGGCCGTCGGCGCGCGGGACGAGGATCGATGGGAGCGGCCTCGTCTCCGGCAGCGGCTGCTGCGGCGCGACGGCGAGGCGCCAGTTGTGGCAGACTCGTGCCATGCGGCTGCGGTCGACGAGGCGGAGGACGTCGGCGTCGAGGTCGCGCCATGGCGCGTCGTCCATTGGAGAGGCGGAGGCGCGGCTTGCCGGTGGCAAGGCGAGGAGGCGATGCGCTATTCCGCTGTGTGCGCGCCCTCGCCGGGATTGGTTCCTCTGCTTCTCGGCACAGGAGGACATGGAAGAAGTGGGTGGGCTACCGTGCGATCCGACTGGGCTTCATTTAAAAGGTCCACTCTCTCGGGCCCCAAGAGTACTCCGTAGCTTCCTCGTGTGGCAGATAAATGGGCTAAAATGTATGAAGGCTTTACTTTTTTTTAATCACTAGAAAAAGGAATAAGTTCACTCTGGTCCCTCTATTTGTCAACCAGTCCGATTTTCGTCCCTTGACCGCAAAACCAGATACGACCCGTCCCCCAACTTACGGGGCAAACGAGATCTCTTGACAGTTTTGATAGCGGTTTTGGCTGACATAGCGTCTACGTGGCTAATTTGACTCGGTCTTCATCTGACGTGGCGGCAATTCAATCCGAAAAAATAATAAAACCGTGGGACTCACGTAAAACAATAAAAAAATGGTGGGACCCACGTGGGCTCCACATGTCCCTCATCTTCTTCCTCCTCCCTCTCCCTCTCCCCTCTCTCTAACTCTCTCTCCTCCTCTCTCCAGCCTCCAGGCGCCACGGCCCACGGGGTCACGGGGAGGTCCGGCGGTGGCGGCCGGCGACGCGACAGCCGGCGTCGCCGGCGAGCTCCACCTCTCGGCGCAGCCGTGCAGCCGTTCCCGGCGCCTCCTCGGATGCCGCGCGCGTTTCTGACCCCGCCGCGGCGGACGCGGAGCAGGAACCTTCTTGGCGGTCAGGATGCCGGACCTGGTCACGAACTCGACCATGGCGGCGTGCTGCTGCTTCGCTAGGACGGTGGTGAAGAGGAAGTGGGCGGATGCCAGCGTCGCGTGGCCGCAGAGATCCACCTGAAGACGACGACGCGTGCGGATGAACACACAGAACACGAGTAACAGGAAACCTAGGGTTGGGGGAAGGGGAGGCAACCTCGGCGGCGGGGGTGAACCAGCGGAGGCGTCCGGTTCCTACTTCCTACTAGCAGTCTCTGATCTGCTTGACGATCTGTTTCGCAGGCGTGATTTCTGTTCCTGGATCTCTCTCTGATGAATGGATTGTTTTGCGCAGATCCTGACACTGTGGTACAGGGCTCCCGAGGTTCTTCTTGGCGCAACACACTACTCCACTCCGGTTGACATCTGGTCTGTGGGCTGCATTTTTTGGTATGGTGAACTGATATTTTAGCCACTGTAAATTATTATTTCTTCAGGATTCATGCCTTGACAGTGTTGATATATCTTGTGCATTTCAGCTGAGTTGGTCACTACTCAACCTCTTTTCGCTGGAGATTCCGAGGTTCAGCAGCTTCTGCACATTTTCAAGTACTGTGCCTGTTTCCTCATCAATTGTTCTTTGTGTTCGCTGGCAAACTTAAGGGGCATAATCGTGTATTCATGGTGGTGATTTATCTTGATTGTTTGGTTCCAGGTTGCTGGGCACCCCAAATGAGCAAGTTTGGCCAGGAGTGAGCAAGCTACCGAACTGGCACGAGTACCCCCAGTGGAATCCCTCGAAAGTGTCTGATCTTGTCCATGGTCTCGATGCTGATGCTGTACTCAACGACGTGAACAAGGAGCTCTACTGAACGTCTGCACGGCTGCGCCGAGAGGTGGAGCTCGCCGCCGGCGGCGGCTGTCGCGTCGCCGGCCGCCACCGCCGGACCTCCCCTGACCCCGTGGGCCGTGGTGCTTGGAGGCTGGAGAGAGGAGGGGAGAGAGTTGGAGAGAGGGGAGAGGGAAAGGTAGGAGGAAGATGAGGGGGTGAGTATGACATGTGGGGCCTACGTGGGTCCCACTATTTTTTATTGTTTTATGTGTGAAAATGACATGTGGGTCCCACAGCTTTATTATTTTTCCAGATCAAATTGTCACGTAAGCGCCACGTTAGATGAAGACCGAGTCAAATTAGCCACGTAGGCGTCACGTCAGCCAAAACCGTTGAGGGACCTCGTTTGCCTGGTTTTCATAAGTTGGGGGACGGGTCGTACCTGGTTTTGCGGTCAAGGGACGAAAATCGGACTGAACAACGAATAGAGGGACCCAAAGTGAACTTATTCCCTAGAAAAATGTCTGTGCGCTGCAACGGGTGAAATCTATTTTAATCTTATATATTTGGTTTAGTTAAAATGAAATTTAACGTGGGAGTTCGCTTGGATATATATATTTTTAGAAAATCATGAGATGTACTTGGGAGTCCGATCGTCCCAAGTTAGCATGCGAGTTTTTTTAAACATATTTCTTATATGATTCCTTATATATTACCAAAAGTGAACGATCTTAAAACCGACTCAAATATATGGATATGTCTACGCCGCCGATGCGAGCGTAGACGACCCTGGCGCCGCCCCGGACCGCGTCGGCGATGCCTCCCAGGGCTGACGACGGCACGTGCCCTCGTAGGGTGCCGATCTCGTCCACGAAAGGGACCCAGAAGAAGTTGTTAGGAACTCCCAACGATTATCTCTCAGGAACTGGAATTAATCACGAATTGCGCATATAAGATTTCTCAACCCCGAAGGATCGAGCCGCCGCCGCCTACGCCACCGCGCATATTCCAGTTCTTAGCCCCCTTCTACTTGTTCTTCGTTGATGTTTATATTACATAGCTTCGGCTGATCTCTCTCTCAGACAGCTCATGCTAGCTGGTTGTTTACTGGACCCATTGGTCCCCCTTGTAGCGTGGATTGGGCCTCCTTGCTCTTGGCCCAAGCTGGACTGGTACTTGCTTCTTCTTAGTCTTGAAGTCTGGTTTTCCTCCTTGCTCCTGGGCATCAGCTTCCTTGTCGTCAGGCTCCAGCACCTCTTCCTCCTCTGCTCCTCCTTGTATCATCTCTTCTGTATCTTCTCTTGCTCTTGGTGGAGATGGAGGCCTGACAGAAGTGCTCGCAATTCTCCGCAGATAGCTTCGGAACATACATCTTCACGGAGGAGGACGACGAGGTCAATTCAACACACAGAACTAACAAGCAATGGTTGCAAGCATTTCGATGCGAGTTGGTGTGTGCGCATACCTGCAAACCGTCGCCGTCGTCGCCGCCGCCGCCGCCATCTCCACCGGCATAGGCAGCCAGAGGGGCTACCTCAAGTAGCACCAGCTGTCCCCGGATGCGCGCCACCACGCGACCTCCGCCGAGGCCATCGACGACGTCGGCGTACACGACCCTGGCGCCGTCGCGGACCGCCTCAGCGATGCCGCGAACGTCCGGTAAACGCAGGTCTCCGCGGTGGACTCCCTTCGCGTCGACCAAAGGCAGCCAGAAATAGAGGTCGCTGTTGCAGTTGTTGCCGTGGAGAATTGGGACGGGGACGCCGGTGCGGCGCCGGCGGGGCGGAGTCTGGGGCGGAGGTGGAGGCTCATGGAGAAGAGGAGCGCCTCCCAGCTCGTCCTCCATGTCTTCGAGAGGAGGCCCGAGGTGGACGATGTCCTCCGCGCGCGCGCGCGCGGCGGCAAAGCAGCTCGACGAAGAAGAGAGAGGCGTTACGGCTTGGGTGGGCCCACCGAATCGGCCTTTCCTGCTTCCAGAAGCTTCGAGAGCCAAGTGCGCTCTGCTCGCTGTGCTTGATCATGGCGGTCTCCATCCTCTGCATCAGCTGTCGATTTGATGCCGTTGTACTCTGTCCCGTCTCCTCTTGCTGCGATGGATTAGTGCAGTTTCAGTTTCAGTCCAGATTTGATGTCATAATCATGGATTGGTAGTTGCTATAATGCTGGAGAATTTCTCCTTTTATAGCAGAAAATGTTTTCAAGTCAGAACTACGTGAATCATGAACGCAGTATGAAACTATGAATTTGTGTGATCTGATGCTGCAGTGAATCAAGAACGCAATATGCTTCAAATGGTTGCCGTTCATCACGACTTGGATTGCATTAATATATGCTATGCCGCAATAAAAAAACAATTCAATGTTTAACTAACTTGCAGTGGTTAGTTTTCCTGATAGAAGTATGTTTTGCATCAAACGGTTTTACAGTGAATCTGAATTGCTTCTGCGTCCTGTTTTGAGTTCCTCGCTGACAGTCCAACATGAACTGGGGTAGGATGGTGCCACTCTTTAGAGGATCTTAGCTGAATTTTCAATCTCTGCTATATATTTTCCTTGATTCATTTATAATCTTCTTCCATTGTTCATAATATAGCATGCCAAGCTTCTGACATTACTTGTACACACCGGTTTCAGACTTTTAGCTAGCTGTGAAAGATGCAGATCGTTTACTTTTTGTTTCCTGTTGTTGTACGATCATCTGGATTTTATTTGATCTTCTTAGGGACTACTTGTTTCCGCTACAGAATTTTTTTTTTGTGCCAGGATGGCACGATTTGTTCCTAGATTATGTGCATAATGTAAAATGTTGAGTATATTTCTCTTGTCAAGAGGTATTCCTTCAGATCCCAAGTTATCAGCATTTCTTCAGTAACACAGATGATAGGCATCGTGTTAATCTGATCACTAGTACTGATCAGATGATGTTCTGCTATCAGCATTTCTTCAGTAACACAGCCTGATGGCTGATGGTAGATTGGTAGTAGGTCTGTACACTAATACTGATCAGATGATTTTCTGCTAAATGCTCTACTTAAGTGTAGAAATGAGAGGATAAGTTGGGACACGGAGAGGTGGATGTTTATCTCCGCATTGCCCATTTATTTTTCTGAATTTGCAGCATCTGATGATGACTGATGGTTGGATACTCGTTACTAGTATTAACTTGATTAAAATTGGGAAGTTAGGTAATAACTTGTTTAATTACTGTTCAGGCCGTAACTCGATAAACAAAAGTGATGAACTGATAAGCACTCGCATCAGAGACTCCAGGGTAAGTTCTTAACCGAAAGGAAATTCCACGTGAATGAAGCTATTATTTGAGAATATGCATAAGGTTTGCATATCTTTGTATGAGGACTTTATACATCAGCTATAAGCAGAAAAGGAGAGAAAATGTTGTGACTAGAAGGATCCTGCTACTCCACTCCAGGACCTCAACTTGCAAAAATTAGTCATGACTCAGCGGTTTTCTGTCGTTTGACGTCGTTTAGACATCCTCCTGTCGAAACCACTCGAACAATTGGTGCAAGCACGCTCTAGGATAGAGTTGGGCTTTGTGTTGATTGTAATGGCATTTTTTTGGGCGTTCTCGTCTGTGTTCCTTTGTTGGCCTAGCGGCGGTCGGTCACACTTAGCGGCGGCCGGTCCGGTGCTAGCCTTCTCCCGAACCTGTGTTTTGGCGCTGTCGGTGTGTGGGTGGTGGTATTTTTTTTCCTTTTTTCTGGTTACGACCTTTTAGGGTTGTAATCTTGTAGTTTTTTTCTACTCTATCAAATGAACTTCGCACTGTCTTACGTGAGTCGTTCAAAAAAATTAGTCATGACTAAATTAATAGTTATGAAACTAATTTGTGTCATCTACTGAGGATTCTGATTGGATCCCGAGAAGAGAAGCAACTGAAACCAGTCTCAAGAAGCAATTAATGCAATCCAAGTCATGAACACCAGCCATTATGTAATCCAAGTACACACATCACACATGGATCTCAGATGAAACATTCCTGTGTGGATAACATTCACTCTTCACGCGACGCTCAAGGGAGAGAACTTGTGGCCCAAGCCAATTGGCCCAATATAAGGCCTAGTCTCATCGCTTGGTGGCCCACGCCTCCCACCTCTACTTCTTCCAAACCAAAATTCTCTCCTTCCGCTTCTAGAAGTAAGCAGAGGAATCAATCCCCACACACACAGCGCGCCTCTGCCTCCTCGCCGCCGGCCAGCCGCGCCACCGCCTCTCGCCACCGGCCTCTCCAATGGACGCGCGATGGTGCGACCTCAACGCCGACGTCCTCCGCCTCGTCCACAAGCGCCTCCCGTGCCTCGTCGACCGGCGCAACATGCGCCGAGCCTGCAAGTCCTGGCGCGCGGCCGTCGCGGCGCCGGCGCCGCCGCAGCAGCGCCCGCTCCCGTGGATCCTCGTGCCGAGCTCCGGCGGCCCTACCTTCTCGTGCGCCGTCGGCGGCTGCCGCAGACACGACTTCGGCGTCCCGGACTACGCGCGCGAAGCACGCTACTTCGGCACGTACAGCGGCGGCTGGCTCTTCCTCGACTTCGGCAACACCCGCGGCCACGGCCGGCACGGCCTCCTCAACCTCCGCACCAAGTACTGCATCAGCATCCCCGGAATCGTCTGCCTCGACCTGAATCCTAGCATCATCAGGGACATGGTCATGATAGCCGCGACCCTCTCCTCGCCGCCGGAAGACGAGCACTGCATCGGCGCCGCCATCAGCTCGTACTGGCCCGGGATGAATGGTGCACGCATGCACGCGTTCTGGTACATGCGGCGTCAGGTCGCGGTGATGCCGACTGCTAGCGAGGGCGTCTTCGGACCATTTCTGGAGGATGTCATACACCACAAGGAAGCCTTCTATTTCCTCACCGCGCAAGAGCGCCTCCATGCTTTCGCGGTACCGGAGTTCCGAGTAGGCCGCCGCGGCTATCTGGATATACCACCCAGGAAGATTCCCAGCTTCCCGCATGATGGGCGTGATTACGACGGACGCGACGTTGCTCGCTACCTGGTGGAGTCCCGCGAGAATCTCCTGATGGTGGTCAGGTTCGTCTCTGATCCTCCCCAAATGCCACCGAGGACGTCGGCGTTCAAGGTGTTCGAGATGGTGGAGCTGGCCATCAACAACGGCGAGGCCCAGTACGCGTGGAACGAGCTGCAATCGCTGGGTGGGAGGATGCTGTTCGTCGCGCGAGGCTGCTCAAAATCATACAATGTGGCCGATTACCCGGGGTTGGGTTCAGCGCCGGCGTCTACTTCCTGGACGACGACAGAATCTACGACGAGTTCACGGTCCTCCTCGATGGCACCGGACGGCGCTACCCCTGCAGAGACAGCGGCAAGTGGCTGCTGGGGGCGGCGGAGGCGGACAACTTCTTGCCGGAGCAAGCCCCGTCGAGCTACTCACCGCCGGCTTGGCTTCTCCCCTGAGAGCGTGCTCATGTTAGTTTGATCGTCGTGGCACAGGTAATGTTTGCTGCCGATCTTGTTGAGATCTGCTTAGCTTAGAGCGAGTTTTAACAGTTGCTATTTTCATTAGTGAGCTGATTTGGCGGCTGTTGATTTGTGCAGTAACTACAATCTATGATGTTTCATTCGATTTCGAGCCTTCGAGGCCCATGCGTTCTTGCAATTGCTCGGTCATGTTTTCTGTACCTTCTGCTAATTTTCAGAATTGCATTAGTGCATCATTGTATTACAGTCGATTCTGCAGTGTGAGAATGCGTTTAGTTAACACCAGCACTTGGCTTTTTCCTAATCTAAGCATGCTTTGGATCAACTGAATTTCAACGAAGATGAATTGCATTTGCATTGTTAATCCTTACAACGGGTGCTACAAATTTCATACTATGCAGTCATTTTCACCTGTTCATAATTTCCAACAGGTTCTGAATTTACTGATAATTAACAATGAGATGACATATACAAGGAGTATTAATATTGTTCTTAAGGCTTGCTATTACAGGTATGCTTGCTGTTGTACTCTATAGTCCGTAGCAGAAAACGCTTCCAAATCAGATTTACATGAATGCAATTTGATATCTGATCTGATGAATTTTTTTTTAGATAATGGGTTAAAAACCCGGCCTCTACATCCAACGGGATGTACACAGCCAACCAAGTTCAGACATAAGCATTGAAGCTCCACCCATTACATGGGTAACAAAAACAAAATAACTTGGACCACAAAAAGAGTCAAGAACAACCAACAAAACAGTAAAACCACCATCCAGGCACACCACATCAAACAGACACGAAGTGCCAACCTAATCTTGAATTCTCCTTCTGAAGTTCCAGCCATAGTTGGAGTAGAACTCTAAAACTCTCATCTCTAACATTTTGCAGTATTCTTTCACCAAAGTGCCATCCTCTTCCTTAAGCAACAAGGATCAAAGTCTTGCCCAATATGTCCCCCTGAAAATCACCTGCAAAAAGGAGTAAGCATTTGATCCATTAAAGACCACATCATTTCTACTCAACCACACCGCCCAGCACAACGCCGCTATGCCTACAAAAACTCGATATTTTAGCCTAGGATTAACACCATTTAGCCAACTACCAAGAAGATGAGACATATTGAGCAGTGGACGAATGCCAAAGGTAAAATGCACCGCACTCCAAATATATCTTATCATAGGACAATCAAAAAACAGGTGTTGTATCTGATGAATTACATGAAGTCATAAATTTGCTGTTCATGACATGAATTGCATTAGCGCATCATTGTATTGCCGTCAGTTATAATGCAATGTGAAAATGTGGTCAATTAGCAGTGCTTAATTTTCCACATAGAAGCATGTTTTGCATGAAATATATTTGCATTGAAGGTGAATTATTGATTGTGCTTCTACAGCCTGCTTTCAGTCTCTTGTTAACTGTCCAAGATGGGACTCTGTTTTGAGGGACATGGATTGTATATATTTCATAACTCAACTGCTAGTCTTCTTCATTTGTTCATAATTGCCATGCCAAGCTTCTCAGAATATTCGTACTGAGATATTTTCAGCATCGGTTTCAGCTGGCTGTGCAAGATGCAGATCATTTATCTTTGCTTTCTTGCTACTAGCTGTGCCACTCTTCCTGTGTTATCTGCTCTTGCGATGGCACTACTATTGATGTTACTGAATCTATTTTTCTGTGACACAATTTGTTCATAGATTATGTGTGTGATGTAGAATATTGAGTATATTGTAGCAGCAGAGGAACTGGTTAAGATAGTTATTGATCTAAAGTGATCGAATTTTTTTCAGTAACGCACTGGTATTGGTATGAGAATGATCTGCTCTCTTGTCGACAGGAGAGATAAAATGAGAGTAAATATTGATCCACGGGAGAGTTGTTTAAATCTGCATTTCTCATTCATTTTCTGAACTTGCAGTTGCCGGATCTGTCTAATGAACGATTTTTTTTTTATTTTAGCGGGGAGGTACGAATTTGTTAACTTGTTTCAGATGGTTGGTTGCTTCATTACTAGTGTTAGGATGATTATAATTAGACAGTTAAGTACTACTATCTGGGTTGATCAGCTATAATAGTCCTACAAGTACAAGATCGCTAGGCACAAGTGTAAAGCCAAATTGCCTATGCCGATTCTTTTTATGTAAGAAAAAGGAAAAGGATAACAACAACAACGATAAAACGATTTCTGATTCTGTTCATGCGCCGAGCTGCATGATGCACAGATACGGCATTTTGTTGCCATTCCCGTACGGGATACGTATCTGATACAGGGATACGGCCGATACTCGCGCGATACGGTATCAGAGAAGTATTGGCGAATAAAAAGCGAAAAAAATAATATTTTTTAAACATAAAAAATATTTTTTAAAAAAATTAATAAAAATAATTGCTTCGGCATCCCGGAGACCCGGACGCCGCGCACGAGGCGCGCTACTTCGGCTGCGTACAGCGGCGGCTGGCTCTTCCTCGCCTTCCGCCAGATCGAGCGCCACGCGCTCCTCAGCCTCCGCCCCGAGCAGCGCTAAAAGCAAGCTGAATTTCTGGCTAGATCCTCAGAAGAGAATTGAGGCAACTGAAAGCAAGCTGCACAAGCAGTTTCGTCTTCACTGCAAATCCGATCCAAAGCATGCATGTGCACTAATGCAATCCCCCACACAGAATCATTGTTCATTGCAATATAATGATGCACTAATTCATGCATGAGCACCAACAATTTCTGCATTACTCTAACATGGTGAAAATGGCAGAGGGTACTGAGGAGAAGTTATGATATGATGGATCAAGCAGTTGCAAGCACACTTGGATCTCGAGAAAACATCATCGACTGCACTAACTGGACAAATCAACAACCACCACATCAAATCAGACGGTGAATTCGCTGTAAGCCAAGCACAATGCCATGCCAGATCGGCAGCAAGCAAGCAATACCTGTACCACGACAATGTAACCAAGAACATGGCAGTCTCTCACGGGAGAATCCAAACCGGCGGCGTGTAGTGCGACGGGCCTTGCTCCGGCAAGAACTTGTCCACGCGGCCGGTAACCGCCGCCGGCGGCGCCACCGGCGGCAGCCACTTGCCGTGATCTCTGCAGGGGTATTCCCGGTACTGGGCAAAGGGATTCAGGATTTGGAACGCCTCATCGTAGAGTCTCCCGTCATCCAGGAAGTAGATGCCCTCGTTGAACTCGTCGCCTGGATAGTCGCCCGCGTCGTACGATCTGGAGCAGCCTCGCGCGACGAACAGCACCCGCCCACCCAGCGATTCCAGCTCCTTCCAGTCGTATGGTGCCCCGTCGTTGTTGATGGGCGTCTCCACCATCTCGAACACCTTGAACGCCCATGTCGTCGGCGGAAAGAGGGGAGGATGAGGAAGGAGCCTGACGACCATGAGGAGACTCTTGCCGGACTCCACCAGGTAGCGAACAGCGAAGCATCCGCCGTAATCTCGCCCGCCTCGCGAGAATCGGCGAACCTCCATGGGCGGTATCACCAGATTACCGTCGTCGTCTTCGTGGAAGTCCGGTACCGAAAAAACATGGAGGTTTTCTTCTCTTGTGAGGAAGTGGAAGGCTTTCTTGTGGTGTACGACATCCTCCAGAGCATGGCCGGTGAAGAACTCAGCAGGATCATGAGTCGCCTCCTCCACACCTCGATGCCTCAGGATCCCGAATGCATGGATTCGTGGATTGTTCATCATGCAGGAATGGCTGATGGCGGCGGCGACGCAGCGTTCGTCGCCCGGTGGCGAAGAGAGGGTCGCGGCCACCATGTCCGTGCCCGTGTCGGGGAAGTGGAATCGCGTGCCGTTGCGGAGGCTGAGTAGCGCGTAGTCCAGGATTTGGCCGAAGGCGACGAAGACCCAGCCACCGTCGTAGGCGCCGAAGTAGCGCGCGGCGAGTGCGTCGGCCGGGAGCGGGTGGCCGAAGGCGTGGGTGGCGCAGCCTGCGAGAGCGCACGCGAAGCAATGCCCGTCGTCGGCGCGCGGGACGAGTATCGACGGGAGCGGCCTCGTCCCCGGCGGCGGCTGCGGCTGCGGCGCGACGGCGACGCGCCAGTCGTGGCAGACTCGGGCCATGCGGCGCCGGTCGACGAGGCACGGGAGGCGCTTGTGGACGAGGCGGGGGACGTCGCCGACGAGGTCGCGCCACAGCGCGTCCATCTGAGAGGCGGAGGCGCGGCTTGCCGATGGCGAGGAGGCGATGCGCTGTGTGTGCGCGCGGCGGGAATGGTTTGGAATGGTTCCTCTGCTTCTCGAAACGGAAGGAGATGGTGGAATGGTTTGGAAGAAGTGGGTGGGCCACTGTGAGATCGGACTCGGCCTCATTTGTAGGGCCAGCTTTCTTGGGGCCCAAAAGTAGCTTCCTCTGGAGGCAGATTAATGGGCTGTACTGTAGAAAGTCTACTTTTTCATGACCACATTCTGCATCTAGCTATCCCCATGCAACTGATCACAAAACAACTAGTATGTCAGGAGAACAAAGACAAGGCATCAGCATGTTGACTGGTTAGCTGACACCGATGCACCGTGTTATGTCAGTATGATTGAATTAGTTATGAAACTAATTTGTGTCATACACTGAGGATTCTAATTGGATCCCGATAAGAGAAGCGACTGAAACCAGTCTCAAGAAGCAATCCATCGATCTTCACTGCAAATTCCGTTTGATGCAACTGATCAAAGAACTCTTCTATGATGAGGAAAACGCATTACTAACAACACAATATGATGGTGCACTAATGCAATCCAAGTCATGAACACCAGCCATTCTGCATTGGGTACACACATGGATCTCAGATGAAACATTATTCCTGTGTGGCGTGGATAACATTTTCTCTTAACTCGTGGCCCAAGCCAATTGGCCCAATATATAAGGCCTACATCGTTTGGTGGCCCAAGCAACCCACCTCTGCTTCTTCCAAACCAAATCCCCCCTTTCTCCTTCCGCTTCGAGAAGCAGAGGAGGAATCAATCAATCCCCAACACACAGCAGCGCGCCTCCGCCTCGCCTCCTCGCCACCGGCAAGCCGCGCCTCCGCCTCTCCAATGGACGACGCTTCATGGTGCGGTCTCACCGCCGACGTCCTCCGCCTCGTCCACAAGCGCCTCCCGTGCCTCGTCGACCGGCGCCGCATGGCCCGCGTATGCCGCACCTGGCGCGCCGCCGTCAAGGGGGAGCAGCACCCGCCGGAGAGCCCGCTCCCGTGGATCCTCGTCCCGCGCGACGCAGACGGGCCTTCCTTCTCGTGCCCCATTGCCGGCTGCCGCGGGCACGGCTTCGGCATCCCGGACGACGCGCGCGCCGCGCGCTACTTCGGCACGTACGGCGGCGGCTGGCTCTTCCTCGCCTTCGGCCAGATCAAGCGCCACGCGCTCCTCAGCCTCCGCACCGAGCAGCGGTTCTACCTACCCGACATCGCCCGCTGGGACTTCGCGGGGAGACCAGCCTTCGACACGGACATCGTCATGGTCGCCGCGACCCTCTCTTCGCCACCGGAGGACAAGGGCTGCGTCGGCGCCGCCATCGTCTTTCACCGGGCCAGCTTGTATAGTCCACGCGTTCATGCATTCTGGCGCATGGGGAAGCAGATTGCAGTGGCGACGACCTGTACTAACACCATTGCTGGGCGACTTCTGGAGGATGTCATACACCACAAGGGAGCCTTCTATTTCCTCACCGCGCAAGAGCACCTCCATGTTTTTGAAGTAGAAGAGTTCTACGAAGACGGCGATGGCAATCTGAAGATAGCACCCATGGTGTTTCGTCGCTTCTCGCGCGGTGGGCGAGATTACGGCGGAGCCATCGCTGTTCGCTACCTGGTGGAGTCCGGCGAGAATCTCCTCATGGTCGTCAGGCTCGTTCCTCATCCTCCCCGACTGCCGCCAAGGACGTCGGCGTTCAAGGTGTTCGAGATGGTGGAGCCGCCGCTGGAAACTCCCATCAACAACGACGAGGCACCATACGGTTGGAACGAGCTGGAGTCGCTGGGTGGGCGGATGCTGTTCGTCGCGCGAGGCTGCTCCAGATCGTACGACGCGAACAAGTATCCGGGCGCCGAGTTCAACGAGGGAGTCTACTTCCTGGACGACGGGAGGCTGTACTGCGAGGCGGCGGTGTTCGTGGATCAGGCTGCCGCCGCCGCCGCCGATGAGCCGCGATGCCCCTGCTGGCCCTGCACAGACAGCGGAAAGTGGCTGGCGGCCGCCGGGGAGGTTCCCCGCGTGGACAAGTTCTTGCCGGAGCAAGGCCCGTCGAACCACTACTCACCGCCGGCTTGGTTTCTCCAGTAAGATCGAGCTTTCTGCCGATCGATCTGGATGAGATGTGCTTGCCTCACATCGACGTGTCCGTGTGATGTTGTTGTGGTGCTGATCAGTGATCAGTGAACAGTTGTTGTTTTCATTCCAGTTCTGAACTTCTTCGGTTTTTCTTTCAGCCAGTTCTGAACTTCAGATATGGCAGTTGTTGTTGATTGTCCAGTTAGTACAATCTGTGATGTTCCATTGTATACTTGCAAGGATCGACCTATGTCACCTATCATAACATCTCTTCAGTACGTTCTGAGTTTCTGGTATGTTTACCATTATATACTTCATGATTACAGAATGCAGAAAACAGTTGGTGTTCATGAGTTGGATTGCATTAGTGCACCATGCTGCATATATAGAATGTATTTTCAATGAAGAGGAATTGTTTCTGCAGCTTTCTTTCAGTTGCTTCAATTCATTTCTGAGGAGATCTAGTCAGAAATTCTGAATCCTTGGTGGATGCTATAAATTAGTTTCAACACTCAGCTTCTTAATTTGTCATACTGAGATAACATCGTCATCTTGCAAGAATTTGATCGTTTCTTTGCTTTCTTGATAGTACTAGCTGCTTTGTGATCAATTGCATGGTGTTTCACTCAAGTTAATTACCTCGTAGTAGTAAATAATATGTCTGTTATTTGTTCTTCTGCAATTACTATTATTGTTACCACTGGATTTATTTTTCCTGTGACATAATTTATTCCTGGACTATGTACATGATGTAAAAAGTTGAGTGTTAGTAACAGGTGAGATGGTTATTTGTTCAATGTGGTCATCATCTTTTGAAACACAGCCATACAGGTATGTGATAGGTGCTTTGTTGCTCTGTTCACTGAATCACAGCTACTGAACAGAGGATGTTCTACTCATCTGTTCAGAAAAAAAAGTTAAGTGCTACACAATGAGTATGGTTTTCTCAGCGTTGCCCATTACATTTCTGATTTCTCTGAAAGTAGTAGCATCTGTCTGATGTCTCTGATGGTACAAAATAGTTCTGCACGTTCATGCCAGGAGACAATTGCGTTAATCCTGAAAAGTTCATACAAGAACACCGCATTGCAGTGGAGCAGGCGGCGGCCACCAATGCAATCCAAGTCATGAACACCAACCATTCTACATTGAGTCATCATGAAGTTCATGGTAAAAATGCCAGAAAAGTACTGAAGAGATGTTATGAAAAGGTAGTACTCCTGCATACATGACACATGGATCTCAGATGATGATGAGATGAAACATTCCCTCAGCACAACATTCCTCTGTAGCTAACATTCATTTCTCGGCATATATAATTACGAAAGAATAAACGGGCCAATTAACTTCATCATACAGATCCAAAGTTCTTTAGGCCCATGAAGAAATGCTCAACAAAGTGCAGCTATCAAAACTTCAGGCCCAAGCAAACCGTCACGATAAACTGGGCCCAAGCCCAACTTCTTGCTCGGCTGGCAAAAGGCTGGCCTTCTCTGCTTCTTCTTCCAAACCAAACCACCCCAAGCTTCCCCTGCTTCCAGAAGCCAAGTTCAAACATGGCGCACAACGACGAAGCGTCCTCGTCGCGTTCCACCACCTCCTCCGCCGCCCAACCCTCGCCACCGCCACCTCCACGCCTCGCCTCCGCCTCCTCCTCTCCCATGGACGCGGTAGCGCCCGCGCGCGATTTCATGGCGGAATCCCTCCGCCTCGTCCACAACCGCCTCACGTGCCTCGTCGACCGCCGCACCATGGCCCGCGTCTGCCACGCCTGGCGCGCCGCCGTCAAGCCGCTGCATCCTCCGCCGGAGGAGAGGCCTCTCCCGTACATCCTCCTCCCGGGAGATGGGGAGCGCTCCTTCTCGTGCGCTCTCCGCGGCTGCGCCACCCACCGCTTCCACATTCCGGACATCCCGCGCGACGCGCGCTGCTTCGGCGCCCACCCCGGCGGCTGGCTCTTCTTCGCCGTCGCCCAGACAACCAAGAACGCGATCCTCCGCGACGAGTTCCCCTCGGGCATCCCCGACGTCCTCCACCTCGACGATCGGCCGCCGGACAAGGACACGGACGTGGTCATGTTCGCGGCGACCATCTCGTCGCATCCGGAGGACCAACGCTGCATCGGCGCGGCCATCCTCTCCCACTTCCCCGACGTCACCAACCCGTCCATCTACGCGTTCTTCCGCATGGGAGTCTTGCCCGCGATGGTGGCGAACGGCGATGACGCCAGCAACGCGGGGTCGGCATCAGGCCTGGAGGATCTCATACACTACGACGATGCCTTCTACTTCCTCACCGGAGAAGAAGGCCTCCTCGTGTTTCGAGTATCCGAGTTCCACGACTTCAAGGACGAGGAGCTTGACATAGCCCCCATCGAGATTCGCCGCTTCCCTCGCCGCGGGCGCGGCCACTACGGCGAGGACGACGTCGCCGTTGTCCGCTACCTGGTGGAGTCCCGCGGGCGCCTCCTCATGGTGGCCAGGATCGCTGCTGGCGCTGGTCCTCTCCGCCCCTCGCCGCCGTCGCCGACGACGACGTCGGAGTTCAGGGTGTTCGAGATGGCGAGGCGATCGACGGCATTCGCCGCCACCAACAACGATGGCGCCGAGTACGACTGGGTGGAGCTGGACTCGCTGGGAGGCCGCATGCTGTTCGTCGCACGAGGCTGCTCGACATCGTACGAGGTGGCGAGGCATCCGGGGTTCGAGGAGGGCGTCTACTTCCTGGACGACGGGAGGCTCTACGGCGAGGTGGCAATGTTCAGGGATCCAAATCTGCGGCAATACCCCTGCAGAGACAGCGGCAGGTGGCTGGCGTCGGCGCCGGAGGCGGTTCCACGCGTGGACAACTTCTTGCCGGAGCAAGCCCCGTCGAACTACTCACCGCCGGCTTGGTTTCTTCCCTGAGATTTCCCGTGTTGAGTTTGATCGTCGTGGTACAGGTTTGCTTTGCTGTTGATTTGTCTGAGATGTGCTTAGTCTCCGATCTGATGGATTACATTAGTGCAGAAATTATCTGTTTCCATGGCTTTGATTGCATTAATGCTGCATTATATTGAAGTCGATTATAATGTAATGTGAAAATTATATGCTCAATTATTCGTGCTTTTGTTTTCCTGATAAAATCGTGTGCATTGCCTGAAATGGATTTGCAATGAAGCTGAATTGCTTCTGGGGACTGATTTCAGTTAATCAGTTTCAGGCTTTTCAGCTAGATGTGAAAGATGCAGATCGTTTGTGTTTTATTTGTTCTTCTATAGGTACTACTGTAGTACTGTACCAGTACTACTTTTGATGCTACCAATTCTACTTTCTGTGCCACGATTTATTCTTATATTATATGCATGATGTAATGTTGAGTACAATTTAGTAGCTGTGGAATTGGCTAAACAGTTAAGAGTTGGTATTTATCTGATGATATCTGAAGCTTTCAGTAACACCTGAATGGCAAATTTGAGAATCATGGAGAGGATGCTTATCTCTGCATTCCCCACGCATTTTTCTTAACGTGTAGCATCTGTCTAACAGTACATTTTGTGATTTTGTCAGACTGCACATTCTCTTGAAAAGAGAGAGAACCTTTTCGATGTTCCAAAACTATGAATCAACCAGATGTCGGAAGGGGTTTTCAGAAACGAATAAAAAAACTAATTTCATAACTCGCCTAAAAACCGCGAGACGAATCTTTTGAGCCTAATTAATCCATCATTAGCACATGTGGGTTACTGTAGCACTTATGGCTAATCATGGACTAATTAGGCTCAAAAGATTTGTCTCGCGATTTCCCCCCTAACTGTGCAATTAGTTTTTTAATTTATCTATATTTAATACTCCATATATGTGTCAAAGATTCGATGTGATGTTTTTGGAACTAAACAGGCCCTAGTTAACTCGTATGGGTGCATATTCATGTATTTTCCTCAGCACGGCCTGGCGTTCCAAATAAGTAATTAAGCAGCGAACACTCCAATGAACTGTTTTTACTGCACCATTGGCCAGGATGCCTCAAAGTTAAGAAATGTAAACGAGGAAATTCAGAGAAAGCATCCTTTCCTCTATGTGTATCAGCTTTTCTCCTTGTGTCGAAGCAGAGCAGGACATTCTCTGTTCAGTAGTAGTGAGATGATCACAGTGGAACAATAACCCATCTCAAACGTTAACCCATCCCTATGTGTTAGTGCTTACTGACGTACTCAACATTCTGCATCATGTATATGAATGAATCATAGAACGGACAAAAACAAATTCAGTGACTAATTACTTGCTACGACCGAGTAACTTGTGTATCCATGAAATCGATCAGAAATAGTATCATCAAGACAGCAAAGATTTTGGGATTTTCATATATATTTCATAACATGGGATATACGGGTGGATGCAACTCTTCTCATATCCTAACTCATATTTCTTTATAGACTCAGATTTGAAATTGGACAGTATCAGCCATCCCATTTTAATTTCTGTCGCATATTTTTCCCATAAACCTCTCGTCGGACGTGCAGTCGGAAAATACCTGTACCCCTACATATATGGACACGGCGGTTGGCCGGTCAGAAACTCTAAGAGTGTCAAGAGCCAAGACTACGTACGAACGCACGAAACGCATCCCATCCGGGAACATATCGCACCAACAAACACAATATACGATCGAAAAGGGTAACCGATCGATATATAGTAAGTTCCAATCAGTCTCGCGTCGCGGCCCCCTTAAACCTTACGCACGCCGGCCTCCGCGTTGCGCCGTCGCCGTCGCCGTCGCCGCGGCGGTTGCCGCGGGAGCCCTGGTCATGCGGCCCGGACGACGGTGGGGATACAGGCGCGTCGCGGTCGCATTGGCGGTGTGCGTCCACGCGGCGGTGCTTCTCTCGGCCGTCGTCTACTTGTCCTCCGTCCTCTCTGCAGCTGGGCCTGGGGCTAGCTCCTCGTCCCTGCAGGAAACGGAGATGATGAGACTGACCGCCAAGCTGGAGCAGATCATCGGTAAGTTCATCTCTGTAATTAATTATCATACGCGATCACGGCATCACGCGATTGATCGATATCGATTAAAGCTAGCCGCTAGCTGCAGCCTGCATGCAACAACGGCTAATCAAATTAGTTACCATTGCCATTACGTGTTGATAATTCATCGCGTCCCTATATACTCCTTCCGTTTCTAAATATTTTAGGAGTATAATATAAGATGTTTATGCAGAAAACCAAGACAAATACAACTCTGGGATGATGCATGGCTTCGCAAGTATGCTGTCCAAAAACCCCGGAATCATTAAGGAGATGACTTACAGAATCACCAACCCCGACGACACGGTGAGAGTTCAACTGGCGGTGACAATGAGAGACGACGTCCAGGTCCAGCCTCTAAGAATTAATACTTCAATTTATTTCCGTGTGTATATATACTTTTATTAGCAAACGCACTACTTACGACTCCCTCAATTTTATATATAAGATGTTTTGAATTTTTTTAAAATTAAAATTTGAAAAATATAGTAATATCTATAACACCGAACTAGCTTATTAAACCCATCATTGAATATATTTTAATACTATATTTGTTTTTTAAAAGTATTTAAGAATTATATTTTGTCTATGACATATTATATAGTTTTCGTTTATCTTCATTATAACTGTGTGCATTTTATTAGCCTCTCTATCCCTTGTTTAGATTCACTAATATTCATATAAATTAGACTATAAAACACATAATAGATGTATCTGTTGTTTAGATTCGCCAAACATGCATGCAGTGAGTATAATGTAAAACAGAGGTAGTAGTATTTTAAAATTGCATAAGGCATATTGTAAGTTGGCCTCCCCAGCATGTCGTGCTGTGTGGACCAGGGTTTTCATGTATGTTTGTCTTTATTCCAAAAGCCATATCATTTTAGCTGACCTCTAAAAAAACTTATATTTTAAAGTATAAAGTAAATTTATGAGAAAACAACTATGCGGAAACTGATATTAATGAGTAGCTTTACCTTTCTGCCTTTTGTATAATTAAGATTTCATTAATTGAATTCATTTTGTTGTTGAAATTTTGCGACCGCTGATATATAGAACACGTCTTCTCCCCAGATATCAATCAATATAATGTTAATTATGAGAGTGTTTCAAATATCCGATAAACATGTCCCTTCATACGTATTTTCGAAAATTAGCCTATTGATTTCACTGAAACTATACAAATAAATATTTAATTGTTTGCGTCTTTTTCGATCACTCACAGAAGGAGACCCAAGAGAAGTGAAGAGAAGGAAATTGGGGCAACCCTTAATAGCGAATAGTCGTAGGGGAGAGAAATGACGAGAGAGCGAGAGCCTGGGGAGCTCGTCAACCTGAGCGTCGGCGGGGCAACCGTTACCGGCGCCCACAGCCCTGCGCCTCTGGTCACTCCGACCAGGGCGGCCACCGCACAACCGCGCTCACCTCCCCAGTCACGCCTTCGCCCCAAGCAAGTCAGGCCTCGCCACTGCTATCCAAGCCCTTGACTGGGGAACGGATGCCGAGGAGGATGAGGACGACGTCATTGCTCCGGAGCTACACCAACGTTCAGCGGAGACATTCAATCCGCAAACCGCCAAAGCACGCAAAGCAGCTTCTCCATCTCCGGCGTCCAAGGCTTTCCATCAGGAAATCAATGCCCGAAGCCAGGAAGAGGAGCTCGACATTACTGCAGAGAGAGGAGAGGGACAGAGCGCCATTACGCCCCCTCCGGAAAAGGCACAAGAGGAAGATGCAGAGAAGAAGGCCAGAGAAAAAGCAACATTAAAGTCGATAATAGTAGCCCCGGCAAGAGCTACAAGCAAGTCTCAAATCGAGGCAGAAGAACAAGATCTTTCATCAAAATGGCAAGCGGTAAAACCAAAGTTTTGGTGGCGGAAGCGCCAAAATCCTTCTTCATCAACCTCTCAGGTCGTCTTCAATCGCCCAGCTACCTCCTTCAATCCACTAAATCTCAGAGAAAAGTTCAAGGAGATCTTGCACGGCAAGTGCTTCCGCTGCTTCGCTTCAGATCACCAGGCAGCAGCTTGCAGGGATCCCATCCGCTGCTATACTTGTAGACGCAGTGGACACATCTCCTTCCGCTGCCCAAACAAATCAAAGCAACCCATTCACTCCCGCCTCACCTTCCCCAAGCAAGCCCCCTCCATTCAATCCCGACTCATCTTCCCACCACTTCCCAGCAAGAACCAACAGCAACCAACAACAACCCGCCCTGGTTCGGTTTTCCATCGTTTGCACAAACCAGCGGTGACCATGGATCACATACCTGGTCTGCCGAATCAACGGCCGGCAGTCGGCTATGCAACGGTGCCGATGACGGAGCTCATGCAGCACGAGCTGGAGCGCCTTCACTATCATGGCGCACTCATCTCGGCTGAGGTCGAGGGACAGGAGACGTCCCCCAGGGAGGTGGCGCGTGCACTGACCCAGCAGGTTGGGATCCCCATCTCGGACCTGCGAGTCACGCGCCATCACCCGGAAGATTTCTTCGTCTTCTTCGATTTCCCAGAGGGGCAGGCCGCGGCAGCGCGGAGAGGCTTCATCACTCTGGATGGAGGAAGGTTCACCATCACGCCATGGAGCGCCGACAGGCATGTGCACCACCCGAACTGGTGGTTTCGTGTGCGGCTCTGCCTGGAGGGATTGCCGCAGTACGCATGGAATAGGGCGGGATTGGAGGGCGTCATGGGTCCCATCTGCCTCTTCGATCGCATCGAGCATAAGTCGGTTCAGTGGCAGAACACGGCCATCTTCTCATGCTGGATGTGGATGCGGAATCCTGATCTCCTGCCATGAACAGTGCTCTCCACCTTCTTCCCGCCGGGAGCTGGGCGTGTCACCTCCGGCATCACACCGCCGCTTCCGGACGAGATCGCGCTGCCGCCGAGGGGGAGGCTGCCGCA